CACAGACAACAAGGTATTGTACACATTGCTCTGTCACAGTATCCATAATGCCCAGGCGATGAATAATATTAGAAACAGGTGTTATTTATGGCGCAAGTGGAGTAAATTTGGACTCGAAATATCGAGCTTCTTTTTTTTAAGCTAATTATTAGAAATTAGTCTTAAACTAGTCATTTTTACAACACTGTCAAGTATTTTATTATTCTCTAAGCATTTGATTTCTAAGCCGGTTCTGTTTACACCTAAAATGTTGTTTAATCTGATCAAAAACGTGTCGGTTCTTGCATGAATCAGCTCGAGGAAATCCTGGAAAATGCGTCCCAATAGAATGTATGTATACAGTTTCCTATGGATATCTTTTAATTATTATGTTTATTTGTTCAATATACTTCAATTGAATCAAGATGATATCTTAGAATGTTTTTCTGTGTAAAGATGGAGAGAATTTGCCCAAAAATTGTAAATTTATCAAAGCAGAGAGAACTGTCAATCAAATATTGAGAGAGAGAAAAAATTCTGGGGGCTTGCCATCATAGCTCTGGATCCAAAGATATTTTAAAATTTTTTAAGACTGGGTGATGTATGATTAAAAAAAAAGCTTTATAAAACAGACTTTGTCACAGCTGAAAAACTCTTCACTTTGTTCCCTCATCCATGTATAGGAGGGGCCATCAGATACTATTGCAGGTGGCTAGACATTACCTGTGTAGAGTTCAGGAGGCCCGGGTTCAAATCCTGGCCTGGAGGTTATAAAACTTTTTGAGTAAGTACTCTGTGCTCAAACTCATACTCCGTACTCCAAATCCATACTCATGCTCCAAAATTCCACTCTAAGTTGTATATAAATTTTGAGTATGTTTATGGTATTGGAGAACGGAGTATGAGTTTGAGCATGGATTATGTACTCAAAAATTTTTATAACCTCCAGGCCAGGATTCGAACCTTGGCCCCTGAACTCCAGACAGGTGCTCTACCAACTGAGGTATTTGGCCATCAACAATTGAACTCGCCTGACCGCCACATTCCTCCCTCCTTAAACGTTTTTGACCCTGAAGGCACACAACCCTGGATGTTCACCTGCAAGCCCAGGAGTGGTCAACAGCACAAAATGTGAACAATGGAATGGACCATTGCATTGTCTTCTCTGTGCAAAGTCAATGTTATAACTTTCTGTGCACAATATTGCTTGACATGGGTCCTTATATCCATGCACTGTAGCAAAGTCCATAACAATATGTATGTAATTTTACGTCCCATATTCAAGAATTTTTTTCACTTATATAGAGATGTCACCATATACAGGTGAAGGACTTCAAATTTAGACCTATACATGGCACTCAGGGCCATTGAGCAGTGAGAGTTCTTTAATGTGCCAATGCCTACCATCACAAGGGACCTCGGTTTTTAAGGTCTCATCGAAAGACCTATGACTTTCACTTCAGATGCTGGGTGCTTGTTGAAGGAACAATCACTACCTATATTTTTGTATCTCCTGATACTTCTCCCTATAGCTCCTGTCCTGATTCTGGAGCGAACGCCTTACGACTAATCTATTGTGATTGCCATTGTTTCCAAGCAGAACCATATATCATGACCACCAAATTTACTTAGACGAAGAATTATTCAGTTTGATTAATTTTAATTTTTACAGGCTTAGTACAGGTGCCCTTAATTTATTTTATTTGTCATGAGTTTTTATTTCTAACTAAAATTTTGTATCTGTTAAAATGAATGCAACATGAGTAGATGACATGTATATATTTAAAAAAAAAATTTTGATTTGTATTTTTGTAAGTTTTTTGGTAGAATGTGGTTTACTTGAAAATAGACTTCTAAAATATGACTTTTGTTGATGCAGTTTGAGTTGGCATAGAGCAGAAATGTGCCAGATTTGATAGTGAGCACAGAGAGCAGCATGAATTGAGCTCTATAGACTAATGTATGAGAACTGAGGACATCTGGAATGAAATCTGCACATCCATCAAGCAAATTTCCATGTTAAACCTTAATACCAGAATTATTTTGCTACCATGATTCCATGTGAAAAAGTATAGCAATTATCAAAGTTGATTCTTGCGGAGAGTTTAAAGCAAAAAAAAATTTAATAATTGCATCTACTCTTAAAGAATAAGCGATGCCTTTTATTTTTATGAAAGAAATGCGCTATTTAGACTCAAATGAAAATGAACTAACATACAACATCATGTGAAATCACAATCTTTGACTGCTTCTTGTGTGGTTTGATAAGGTGGAACAAAGTTAAAGTGAAAGCTATGTTATAAAAAGAGGTTTTTGATGGTACATATCCATGCAGTGAGTAGTACATGTAAAAACACTGTATTCACTCAAACAGTTACACTGTAAAACATTTTACATTTTTTTTTTTTTTACTAAGAAAAAAGTTTTAAAAAACTAAAATTTGGGTAAAGAAAAGAAAATATTAAGCATATCAGTTTGATGGTTATTTCCTTGAAGACCATCATGACTTTGTTTTTAGCTCTACTGGTCAGAGACCAGAAGAGCTTATGTGATAGTAAGGTGTCCGTCGTCCGTCCGTCTGTCTGTAAACAATTTTTCAAAACGCTACTCCTCCTACAGTTTTGGTCTGATTTGAATATAACTAGGCACACAAGTAGACTACACTAAGATACATAATTTAGTACATCGGTTTTTGATTTCGATGAATGGTGGTGCCATGGTTACTAAAAATAGAAATTTCTGTGAAATTCCTTTAAAACACACTTTAAAACGCTACTCCTCCTACAGTTTTGGTCTGATTTTAATATTACTTGGCATACAAGTAGACTACACTTAAATACATAATTTAGTGCATCAGTTTTTGATTTCGATGAACGGTGTTGTCATGGTTACTAAAAATAGAAATTTCTGTGAAATTCCTTTAAAATGTTACTCCTCCTACAGTTTTGGTAAGATTTCAGTCTAATTTGGCAAACAATTAGAATACACTATGATACGTAATATGTATTTCGGTTTTTGATTTCAGTGAATGGTGTTGTCATGGTTACTAAAAATAGAAATTTCTGTGAAATACTTTCAAAACGCTACTCCTCCTACAGTTTTCGTTTGATTTCAATTTAACTTGGCACAGAAGTAGACTACATTAATATACATAATTCTATTTATTGTTGCGTGTTGCAAAGTTTCAAATCCAAGTGCTACTTTTCCTTTGTTATACGTACAGACCAGTAGAGCTACAGTCTCATCAGAGACTTCTGGTTCAAGCTTATTATTATATGCAAGATTTGTATAAATTTTGAACATCTATGTTTATTTTGAGAAGAATGTGAACAAAACTGTATCTAGGTCAGGGTCACTGTACCTAAGGTCAAGGATGAACAATGAAACATTCAACATATTTCATGAAAATATATGTCTAAATCAGTAAATTTTAAATGAGATAGCTGATGTAAACCATAGCTGGGTTGATTTAGCGAAGACTATGTATTGTTAGAGCACAAATGTGAAAGTTTAAAGCAGATATAGGGGCTTACATGTACTAAACTGACTGAAAGAGAATGGTTCACTTTATGCAGAAAATGCCCATGTTTATAGATCAATGTAATAACCCTGTCACTCTGTGTCCATGCAGTTTCAAACATAAACTTAAAAAACAATTCCTCTAACTGTCCACATGATGGGAAACAGGGTTTGTGAAAATACAAAGTTCTTCAATTGTTTAGAAAATGGGTGATTTAACAAATAGCAGCACTGGAGACTGCTAGGAACCAGAAAAGGGGGGGGGGTGTCTCCCCAGTAATTGTGCAAATGTATTGTAGAACAGTAGAAAACTAGTGATAATGTAGGTTTTGCCCTTTCAACTTTATTTTTCTTTGCTTGTCAAGGATTTTTTGTTTGCCCTTCCCCCCTCCCAAATGGACTTGCTTTCTAAGGACCTGGCACAGCTGTCGGTCCAAACATGTATATAAGAAGCCTTCAAAGCAATTCTAATAGAATAAAAATATACTTGTTATTTCTGGAATGGAAGTTGTGCTCTATTTGAAAAATTGAATTATTGGCTCTTTTGGAAGAAATTTTCATGAAGGGGAATACTGACACAATTCTTGGTGTCATTTTATTGAGAGTTATTTTATTTAGAAATTATGCCTTTTTAAAAAGATATGAAGTCGTCATGAAACTGATTAATATTTAATGCATAGAAATTGAACATTTAAATAGTTCAGAATTTTGCATTGAAATTGAACATATCTCAGAATTTTTCTAGGGCCAAAAAGCCCTTGATGAACCTTGCTCTTTCAATCAGGAATTGTTTTTTGTCTCTAAATTTCTTGACTGATATTTCAATTCAACCATCTAATATTGAAACACGCGACTACCGGAATTCGATAAAGGCATAAAAAGACATACAATGAATTTGGTATCATATAACATGTAATAGTCAGTTTAATTAAGTTAAATGTTTGTTGAATTGAATTGAGAACAGGTAGAAAAGGAAAATTAAGTTAGCTTCTAAAAAAAGTAACCTGACTTGATATCATTTACTAATTTATGCCTCTTGCAATTATGTTTTACCAAGACTAGCTTTCCTTTTTTTTTATGGCTGCTTGAAGAAGTTTAATAAATTATCACAGTAAAATCTGGAAGAAGTCCAAGAGTAATTTAGAACAAAATTAGGTGTTTGTACCCTGAAATCGGAACTATTTTTCTGTGTCAATTTAATGATTGTACTCAATTCATGTTCTAAAACTCTTGAATATCATCTGAAATGATAGCTCTGTCATGGTTGATTTATGCTGAATGAATGCATAGAGAAAACATTTCTAAATACTCGATATTCTTTCATCAATATTGAAATAGAGAGATTTTTAGTAGAGGGTTTTTTTTTATTTATCACATCCCTCTCCCTTTTAAATTGATTACGTCTCTTGGTATTTTATTTCAACCTGTAGGGCTATAGGTAAGTTTGTTGGCAGAAATTATGGAACAAGTACGTACATGCTCAGCTAACTTCTGTTCAGTGTAGAATTATGTCCATTTGTGTCATTTGTATACAAAGTGTTAATGTGCTTTGATCCAAGTTAGAACACTTGTGTAAGTGGGGATTTCAGCAGAATAAATAAGGTTTCATTTTTTGGTAAGCATGTCTAACTGAAATTTCAGTCTTTATGTGGAAAGAAAGGCCTATAATTATTTAATTAATATGACTAAATTGTATCTGACATTTTTTTTTTTTGTAAATGATATGTTGACAATGCATTTCATGCAATATCAAGTCAATGAACCTGGTTTTTTTTAATTGTTTTATTGCTCAATTTTTAAATTTTTTAATTACTATATTTTCATTTAAGATTTAATCTATTTTGTTCACTTGATAATGAATACTATTGTTGAACGTGGGCTTAGGACCTGTAAGCAGATTAATTTAAGTACACTCATCTATTAAATTTCACAGATATTTTATAATAGGGACTGAAAAGCTAACAGTATTCTTGATTAAATAGGAATGCACGCCATTGAAAATCTTTACCCACCATTTATTGCATTCTCTATGAAAGGTGCTTAATACCATCAATTTTACACATGCATTGAATGACACGGATTGATTTTATGCAAAGTGTACTGTGAGTAGAAATTATTCAGAAGCATGCGGAATGTGCCAGGAGTTAAATGATATTTTTTGGAATGTACTTTTATTATTTGCATGTTTTACAGGTGATATAATGGTATGAAAAAAGTGAACATCCCATCCAGTGCCAGCCATTAAAAAAAGAAGACCATGGAGACCCGAAGATCAACGGGGTCCTTGTCTTCCCTCTCTGGATCGGGAACATTTACCCCACCCATGTCCCCCAGGGTGGAGAGTCCAAGGGCTGCCGCGGCAGTGGGGGAGAAACGCCAGGGGTCGGGAAAGGGCATCCAGATGCAGATACAGCAACTTGCAAGTAAGGACAATTAACTCTGTATAACATTTCAGACCAGGTTTGAATAATCTCTTAGCATTCGATTACTGTCAGTAATATTTAATGTTATGTAGCCCGTGATCTAATCAATACCTTAGTGTATGAAACAAGTCACCAGATGCTGATGCATTCATCTATAATTCAACTGCCCTTATGCAGTCGTTGTTTAGAAAATGAAGCTTATTTGCATAGATATTTGTACTATGTCATTTCCTGAAAAATGATAATGTTCAAAATTATTGCATGTTCAAGAGGATAAAATTTGAATTTGAAATGAAGATAAGTTTTGTAATGTTGTATAGGGAATTCTAGTTCTGTAGGATATTGACTAGGCAAGTTCATCAGTTTCTTTTGAAAGGTAGAAAAGACAATTAAAACTTGACAACAAATTTTTTATCCTATTTCATTTCTAGTATTAACTGTGTTCACACAATTACTGATGATGGTAGATTTGTGAAGTTTTATTTCCTCTATTGGTCTGTTGGGATGTATACAATGTAAACTTAGTCTACACTCCTTAATAACATAATGATTAACTTTCAGTGGTTTTACACAGTTTAATAAAAGGTTCTTGCATATATGTATTTATGTAGATCTCCTGGTGTTAAAGTATATAACTTGAGCATTTAAATCTAAAAAATGTTTGGAATGGATTGCAACAGTTACCCAGCCTAGCTCTGGAGCTTTTCCAAGATTGATAAGGATATCTTTGCACATTTACATTTATGTTCAGTTTTGAATGTGTTCGTACATTTAATAACAAAGCGGACCAGAGATGAATTGAAATACTTTTAAGACCTTAGCAGTCAATAATTGATTTTCTGAGCCTGCTAGTTAATTGTATCTGTGCTAAAATGGAAAAGATTTAATTTACAGTGTATCTTCATATTCAGTAATATATTCCTTTGACCAGTAATTTACTAGATTTATCAGTGAATATTTTAATAAAATATCATGATAGGACTTGTTTTATCAGAATATGAACCAAAATCTTAATTTGACTTTTTCAAACTTCCTTTTTTTTTTAAGTTTGTCTTGAATGTTAAGGAGATTTCCCTATTTAGAGTTAACACTTTCTCAGACACACTTGTCATTTCTTTGGTGCATTCATCTTATTTACATGAGTATGAACATCAATGCTCAGGACATTGAAAGCTCTTGAAAGTCCAAAGTAGGAGAACACAACAGTTGCTATGAAAAGTATTCACTTGCATATAAATTTTATCACCTATTGCTTGGCATGTGAATAAGCCTATTGCAGGATATGACAATTGAGGACAATCCTTGAAACAAGATTAGTCATTTTGACATTTAATTCAAAGAAGATTAACCAGTGTCTTGCTCGGATACAGTGGTGGTTATGGTAATCTACTATAGATCTTTGCCTTGCAGACACTTTTTATTTGGAGACTGGTCCCCCACTTTCGCTAAAAGCAGAGGATATTAATGTTGGTCCATCTGTCATTCTTTCTGTGTGTAATACTTTACTTTCTGAACAATATCTTAAAATGTTTTTTGGCTTTTTTAATGAAATTTTGTATTATAACTTGGTATGACTTAAAAAAAAAGACCACAATTATTTTAAAGTCACAAGGTCCAATGTCAAAATCGGGCATTCAAATACTGTGGTTAACAGATGATAACTTTTGTTCTTTTTGAGCCTTTGCAATGAAATTTTGTATCATAAAATCCTTTGACTTTATGAAGACCCTATGGATTTTGAGGTCAAAAGGTCACAATTGAAGGCCAGAAATTCATAATTAGGTTCAAATGGGTTTTCAGATAAGTTTGATTTTCTCTGAGCTGTAGAATGAAATTTCACAACTCCTTCTGACTTAATGACACCCCTTAGTATTGATTCTTAGGTAAAAAAAAAAAAAATCAAAATTCAAGGTCATAAATTCATATATTTCATAGAATGGTTTCCAGAGGATAACTAAATTCTTTTGGAGCTCTTGCAATGAAACTTGAGGTCATGACTTTTCCTTACTTAAGCCTATTGATTTAGCCATAAGTAAAAGGTCAAGGCCAGTGCTTTTCTTCCTTTATCTGTATTTTTTTTTTTTAGGTCTTTCACCTATTTATTTTGTTCTTGAGTGGGGGACATAACTTCTCTGAATTATCTTGAAGTATGCAATTTTGCCTCAACACTCAGGAAATTTGCTTTACATCTGAAGATGGTCTTTTCTTTTCCTTTCTTTTTTTTTTTTTTATAAATAGCATTTCATACATTAAGAGAATTGATTATCTGGATAATTTTAAATGTACATTAATGTGAGGCAAACTTTGAGAAATTAACATACACCAAATCGTCATTTGAGAACGATTACCTGTGCCTGGCTTGCTACCCAATTAGGCAGTACATGTATTTACAACTGTGTAATATATTAATTTCTTGTAAGCACATCTTCAGTTCAGGTAGATGAATTTTATAGGGTAGGACTATGCATACATAAAAGGTAGAACCATTACCCAAAATTGGGATGAATTACATTAATGGCAATTATAGGTGTTCAGATTTATTACTCTAGTGAAAATTCAATAAGACTAAGTACCCATAGCAGAGTTTGTTGATCTTGGCATGGTAAACAACTATATATACTTTCATTTTGATAGAAAAAAGAAATCAGGGTTTTCTTTCTTGACTTTTTAATTTGTGTGCAAACTTTATTTATTTATGAACTTTTAAAAACTTCTCAAATATTTGTGTCTTACTTCATAAAATTATAAACGTAGAACTTAATTGATAACCTGTGTTTTGGTAGCAGCTAGAACAAAGTTTTCATGAAAGTTGTATCTGGATGCTTCATTTATCCAGACGAAGTCATCCAGATAAATGAAGCACCACTCAGTATTGATTTTCACAAAAGTATCCTATATTGAAATAAAGTTTAACAAGGACCTAGTAAGAGTGTTTACCTGCTGGTGCAGCTGTAATAGATTGCAATGCCCAGAGCACTAGTAGCTGACCAATGCAGATTGCATTTCAACTTTGAATTCAGAAGCGTTTACTATACCCATGAAGATGTATGGTGGTCGCTTGCTTGAACATGCATTTAAGTTAGTACTCTTATTTCATTCCAATAATTACGTTTACTGTTTGTAAATATACAACCAGTGTGGGATATTTATACAAGTTGTTTATAAAATAAAGGTGTGTATTTATTATTTTATAGTTGTTGATTGGCATTTTTCCAAACTAGTTCAATGTGTATCTACATTCACTGGGGGGACGTGTCTGGTCACCTTGGTGAATCTTATCTTATATCAATGAAAATGTTCCTGCAGAAAAAAAACAAATACCCAATAATTGCTACAAGATGAAAGTTTGCTATTTTGTTGTATACAGAGTAATAATGGGACACACGCCTTGATACCCGGTTTTTAATGCTCGTAACACACATCTCGTCAGACACTGTGAAGGTGATCATTTCTTCAATCGATACAATTTTTCACATACAAGATTGTCAACACTCACTCAGTACTTGGAGATCGACTTATTCATTCCACGATAAATATTCAACAGGGGTGGTTTTAAATTGGGTTTACCTCTTATTTATTTGGCAACACAAGAAAGATGTGCCTTTTTTTTTGACAAACAGCCATCAATGAATTTTTTAACGCTTCAAAAGTTGTGTTTTTTCCAAATCAGAGTAATTACTCTCACTTTTGGCTCAGTTAACCCTAGTAGAGAAAAGCTGTACATAACATTTGAATAACTTTGTGGATACTAATCCAATTAAGATTGCCGACCTTTTGTTGCGAGAGGCATTTAGGGGACTTTTTATGCAATGTTTAATCTTCATCAAGGTAGATAATATGAAGTGGGCTTCCAGTGGAATATTTAATCGAAAGAAGGCAACGGGTGTTATAATTGGATAGCAGAGTTTAGACTGGGTATATGGATGTTCCATAGCGACATGAAGGTTTTGGAATGTTTTTAAAATGTAACTTATTTTGATGAGACGTATTTGGAAGGCCAGAAAAAAGAAATAAAATGCAATGTATCTCTCGGACTCTCGAGTGTTTGATTCTGGGGGACTATATAGGAGATAAGCGGCAATAATTATGCATTCTGTCTCAGTGTTGCCAGAAATGACATTTGCCATTGGATAATTAGATTGACCAGCAATTGTCAATGCACATTGATTATTGAGGGATAGGACCCTCATAAAGTATAGGGACACAAGGGTAAAAGGAACAATGGAAACTATACACAATGAATCAGACTGCACAGAGTAAAATGACATAAAAGGACAATGAAGGACTCGTTAAAGCAAGGACCATGTAGCTGAAAGGAAATGGTTGAAATCATATGCAAGAAGGGGCGATATTTCAAAGTATCGGACATTTACGAATATGAAAACTATGTTGGTATGATTAATTATTAATCCATATGTATATTTGCATCTTTAGTATCTAGCTCCAAAACAAAGTGCAAGTTTGCATTCATTTTGTATGAAAACTTCTGTTAAAAAAGTAAGCTTAGGAAATTTGTAAGCTTTTTAAAACAAAGAAAATGTACTTGGTAAAGACCTGGTACTTAAGGTCTAGCAATGGTAATGTTAACATGTCTTTGACCTTATTCCTTTCCGTCATAGAGAATATGCCATCTTTTCATTAGTTGGAGGTGTCAAACACACTGTGCACATTTGTCTGTATGTTGAGAAATTCACTATGAAGGCAGCCCCAATTCTTTGGGCCAATGCATGCATTAAGGACCCTTTATACACTAATGGAAAATGTTTATTGGACATTGAGAAAATTATTTTGTGTAAAGATATTGAGTTGATCTGATTTATATGTTCAACATAGGGTACCTGCTGTTCTGCTCCAGGAAAAATGTTCAAAGACGGCAAAGTATTGATGAAAAGAAATCACTATTGCATACTTAAATGGGGGAGAACTCATGCAAATGAAGTATCTCTTTGCTTTATCTTGGTCTAATAAAATGTTAAGAATATTTAAATGGATTCCAGAATGTATATTTTACCATAGATTTCAGTTTATTCCATTTTAAATGCAAGGACAGATAATTCTATCTGTGTAAGAATGCCATGAAATTAGAATTCTTCATTGTGCAGTGTATAGAGGCCGGGTCATAAAAGGTGTTTTGAAATGTACATTTGCATGTGCACCAGTTGAAGGTTAGTCAGAGGGAAGGGATTTTTATAAAAACTTTTATGACTATCAGTACTATCTCTCATCATGCTTATCTAGTATCCATAATCACTTGTATTTGATATAGTTATACATGTCATACTTTAGAGTTTGTGTCATGTTAACGCAGCATTTGCATCTCTATATTTCCAGAACACCCCCCCCCCCCCCCCAACAATTGTGCTTCTTTGGTGGATTGTTTTTCATAGTTGACTACTTAGAAGCTTAGTTCTGGCAAATTCAATGTGGCAGTAAAATTTCTGTTGATAAATACTAGGTGCTAAATGCAAATGAATGGATTGATTTTCACCGCAAAGTAACAGTCATATGCTTTGAGGCTGCATGCTGAATCTACAATTAGAATTGAAAAAAAATGATGGTTTTCCTTGAACATCCATGCATCCCCTTCAAGGATGTACTATTTGCATATATGTACCAACAATTTACATGCACAAGCATGACAGAGCATTTATATAAGCAAGTCAGTTTCTTCACATAAAGGAAACAGTATTTTGGTCTGGTTTGCTCAAGTTAGATTATTAAAAAAATAGCTATTAAAAAAGCAAAAAGCATATAAACTAATATGTATGATAATAATTAAAGTATTTATGTCTACTGTCTACATGATGTTTGGTTAGTGTGTTTCAGTCATGTTTTAAATTAATATACATCAGATCAGATGTCTTTGGATGTATTAAGAGTGTGTGAAGACACAGTGTAGGGATTTATAAGAATATTATGAATTATTGAATACATTTGCATATCTATATTATATAGCTAAGAAAACAATATAAAAGCTAACCTTTAAAGGAAAAGTTTGTAAATTTCATTTTGGAATGTAGTAAAACTAAATATCTAAAAGTTTTGATGATTTTTCAAGTCATACAACCAACCAAAAACAAAAAGATGATGCTTTTGAAATTACAGTGAGTCATGATCTTGAAGAGACAGTCTGGGCTCACACATCAAATATTGTTCTTATCTTTCACATAAGTGTTGAATGCTATTTCTACCATACCTATTACAAATCTTTTGATCGAAAAAGTGGTTTTGCAAATTAAGCGTAACATCGTCTGATATGGGTATATGCATTGTCATTCTAGCTAGGCCTTTGAGATTATTGTTATCAATTAATAAGAATACCAACTACTTTCAATCAAATAAGAAGGGCGGTCCCCCCAAAGCCCTATATCTGGATTCCCTCCAAATTTCTAGCAATTGGTTAAGAGTTCAATAATATTTTATAAAAATCAATGCATTTCTTTTTTGTGCATAGTCCTACCAAAAGATGGGCAGAGCATACCCCTCTGTGCAAAGTTATTATAGACAACTTCTAAATATATGTATAATATGTATTATTCATATCATTACTAATCAGAAATCTATAATCTATGACTCAGGTATACCCTAGCTGTAGGTATATACATGTATAGTGTGTTACAAAATGTTCTTGACATATAAAATTTGATTGGTATGAATATTTTGTATAATTTATATAATATGTCTATATATGATATGAGTACTAGCTACCATGGTATAAATACAGTTTGTGCATTTTGAAAGAAATTTACAAGATCTGTTATTAATATTTACACATTTTGCAATACATGAGATTGAATTTACCAGTGTAAAGAAAAAAAATTAATTCCACAGGCCTTAATTTGAAAGTTTATCTTCTCCTTCATGTTGTAGCATGACTGCATTATCAATTTGAGAATAATTGCATGTGAAAGCAATCCATTGTAAGAATCAATAAGGAATTGTCCTATGAATAGTTCATGATGTATAATTTACTGTGGCATATATAATTTAGTACACAATTACAATGTACCCCTTGTAAATATAATTCCTGACAGGTACCGTGGTATAGACATGTACTTCATGCCGTGAGCATGCAAAATGTTGAAGATTCAGATGAATCAATGATGTATATTGTACAGAATTCATCTGCAATTGCTTTTATAGTACATGTAGTATTAACTCGAGCATGAAATGTGTAAACAAAAATGACTGCTTAAGCTGCTCTAAACAAGTACATCTGATGATGGTTATAGGTAAAAGGTGGTTCAATGAGCTGGAAATATTGAACAAATTGAACTGAAGCAGAAACGAAAATAAAGGTAGAGGATTTAGGTCTTTGGTTAATGGAAACAGGGGAGGTTTATTAGGCCATTGTAAAGAGAGTTCAGCCAAGTATGAATGGCGGGAACTGTATATTGCCACAGGTAGATATATTGATTGCTGGGACCTTTAACAAGAACACATACAGGGCTGTATAGATCATGTTATAGTGATCAGTCTAGTGACAAAGACTGCACAGAGAACACAGCAGGGCCTTCATCTTCAGGAACCCAGCCCCAAGGGAACTTATAGGAGGTCGGGGGAACTCCTATCTGTGTACTGAGGGGCTTGGGAGGATCAATTGAATATTGGATTTTTTTATTTCTTCGATTTACTGAAGGACTGTATTTTCGTTACTTTTGATGATTCTTTAAATGTGTTGTTGAAAGATTTTTTGTGAGAAGCATAAACTGGCACTGTAGAAATACATTATATAGACACAAAAATGGATAAACAAAGTATGAATTTGACTTACCAAACCCAAGTGTTTGCACAACGTGTGCTTTCGCTTAAAGGTAGGAAGAATTTTCCTATTATGCTTTTAAATTAGATGATTTGAGAGTGTTGAATACCTTCTCTATTAAGATGGAAGTCTTATAAAATTGCTTGCTGTATTTTACAGGCAAAATTGTTCATATCGTTGAATTATCAGAGTTAAAGTGAAAATGTTGGGATTAAAATTCCTGGAATCAGCTTGAGTTATGCTGGATTACAAAGTATTTTATTTTACATAGATGAAAAAATTCCATTGGGTAGGAAGTACTTCATGTAGTATCATCTGTTAAGAAAAAGTCCAAACAGTTTTCAGAGAGGACAAATTTGTTCTTTTTATGGTGTATTTGCTTTGCGGATTTAATAATCTGTGCAGGGAGAGTCCTCAACAGGGCAATGTGTGACAGGTTCTGTGTTTTGGAATCTCTCCAGATATACCCAAAATATTCTCTGCCTTTAAAGTGAATGAATCTCTTTGCCCATATTCAACATAATTACATTCCACATGTTTGCTTATGGTACAGGGCAGTTTAAATGTTCAATACTTTATACATACTTATCATGTTGTGTCTTGCCCTGAAAGATTAATTTGTTTAAATGGAAGACACACATAAACATGAAAAATTATCGGGGTATTAATATATAAGTTCCTTTGAAATTAACTTTTCACCCCAATCTCCTTTTTAATTTCAATTTAGTTCATAATGGTTTCATTTTCTTAAAATCCATATGAGATACTAGCTAGCAGCTGCTATTTCATTTTCTGCATGTTTCATTGCATGATCCTCACTTCAGTCAAATGTTTGATGAATAATCTTCTAATTATTATAGTGTACTAGAGTCACCGTTGATCAGAAACATTAATTTAGTACCTTTGCAAAGTTTTTGGTATCTAGATATATGAATAAAATTAAATCATTTAAAATTTTTTTTTTATTTTAAATAGATGAACAAGAAAGAGTCCAGAAGAAAACCTTCACCAACTGGATGAACACTTACCTGAAACAGGTAAAAATGACACACTTACTGACAGCAGTCAGGTAAACAATGGAGCCTGACCAGGGTCCTGTCATCTCCTGTGGCCAAGTTAATCATAATATAACAGCTTTAGCAACATTTACAGATGTATAATCACACTTACTGTCAAGGGAGATTTGTAAGTTATCATTAGTAAACCAAGCATACACACTTAGAACAACAGTTGCTGACAGGATTACAATAGGAGAGAAAAAAACCCACACATCTTCATCTTTATGGACTTTTTAATGATCTTTATTCCTCAGTGGTGTACAGTAACTTGTTAATGTATATTTTATTTAGTCTGAAATTAACTTTAGCTGATACAGCAGTAAAGGGAAGCTGTGAGGTAGAGAACCTTTGATAGAATAAACTGCAAAGTTTTGTCAAAGACACAGTACAGTAAAACATGCTTATTAGGAACATTCTTATGATGAATTTAGGGCTACAGTGAAGTGATTTTCATTCCCCATTTTAAAATGTATTGTAAACTTAATATATACAATGATATATATATATATATATATATATGTATATATATATATATATATATATATATATATATATATATATATATATATATATATATATATATATATATATATATATATATATATATATATATAGTGAAGCAAAATTGTTTGTCCCTTGCATTTTGCTATAAGTGTGTTTTGCTATACTCCTGAATGAAGATTAACAATTCATGCAGGTCATGTACACAAGGGCTAGGGTGAGGCTAAAACAGGCTTATAATTTCCCTATATATATAGGGGACTATATTGTAAAAATTTTTATATATTCTCAGTTACAGAACAGTGGTGATAGATGATTTGCTATTTTGTTTGTTACTCAATCCATCACAATTACTTTGTAACATTGAAAGGAAATGAATAAAATTCAAAGTTTAGTCTCTTATTTATTGGTGTATATTTATGTCATGCTCTGGTATCGAAGTTAGGTCTCAAGGTGAAGGTCACTAAGAGCAATAACTTATAATTCAAATTTTGTTATGAATTATATCTTGGCAATGACTTTGTAGCCATATATTGGTCTGCAATCAAAGTTGATTAACCATTATCATATGTTGTTGGTATGAACACCTAAAGGTGTGTCTTCATCTTTACTGTAAGCAGTTTTTTCAAGATCAGTGAGCTATAAGATATTGAGAGATAATGTCACAAATTGTGTCCAAGTTTTCAGTTCTGTAAATTGATTGGAACACTGTGCTTAGCTATAAGAATGCCATTAACTACAAGTTAAAGGGGAAGACACCTGCCACCCTTCCCACTCCCCCTCCAAAACACAAAACAAAATGCACAATAAATTTTGTGTTACATACAATTGAAAAGATAAATGAAGGGCTAGTTTTCTAAATATATATTCTTTAAAAATGCCAAAGGCATAGATTTTTAAAATGGTTTTTTTTCTTTTCCTCCTAGAAAAACATGAAAGTAGAGAACTTATTTGAAGACATAAAAGATGGAGTGTACCTGCTGTCTCTTCTAGAGGCTCTGTCTGGAGAAAAACTGGTACGTACTTCCACTGTAGTAAAATCCAATCCAAGCAGGGATGGATTTGTTGTTGTAGTTGTTCCATTAAATCCTTTAATCCTAATTGTGCAGTGTGTGTAAATAAAAATGTTTATCATATCCCAATAAACCATGATAACCCTAGGTTGTATAATATTCATGAAGTAGTCACAAATTTGACAAAATGAGACATATAAACTGTCAAAGAATCTGACATAATTTTAGACACAAAAAAGTACTTGGTTGCCCCCCCCCCCCCAATATCAAGAGCCATCCTTGATGAACTGGTATTCAAGAATAAGGGTATAGTGATGATTTAAGTTTGTTATATCATTTCAGAGGAGTGGGTTTGGATTAAAGGTCAATCCAGAATTTGTCCCCAAAAAGGGTGTTTTGTTTGACTGGGATGTTTTACACAGTTGTAAAGTCCAAAGTTGTTTTACAGTCTTTCAAATCATATTTTTATTTGGGCCCTGTCCTAAACATTGTCAGTTCATAGATCTTGGTGCAGTTATGTGTAAAAACCCAAATGTATATCATTTTGGAAATTATGGCTGCATCATCAAATTTTGTTTCTTTCATATCTTATATACAGTTTAGGATGTTTTTATGAAACTTTGCCAATTGATAGATTTATGTCAAAGAGGTAGATCACAGTGACTTGATCTTGTATGATTCGTGAACTCTAGCACATTACAAAGCCTAGGGTCATCAAACCTTGTCATTTCATATTGGGTGAAGGTTTGTGACAATTTAAAAGGAGATAATTGGTATCTTTGAGAAACTTTTATCGCTCTGCATATTATAATTGTGGTTGATACCTGTGTACCTGTAAGACTTAAGATCATTAGGCCTTGTAAGGAGTCGCATCATTTCATGTGGTGCATCTTTTTGTACAGACACCATAGTAGGTCATGAGGATCTTATTTTGGAATTAATGCAGAGTCATACTTACTTTGCACACTATAAGGATTAGAAAAATCAGCTCTGTAAATTGATGCCTACAGAAAAAGTAGGTCATGATGATCTCAATTTTATATTAACAATATCTTGTAAACCTTACAGCATAGGATCCTCAAAATTTGACAAGAGGTAGCCCTGTAAAACTAATATGTAATGCACTGATTACACAAGGTTATTTATAGAAGTCATTAATATGAAAAGTCGAGAATAGATTCCACTCATGGGAGGGGCAGGGGATCACTGGCTCTTCAGGAGCAGCTTGATTAGCCCTAGACTGCATATGTAATCTTTAAGGATGGGGTTTATCTATCTGTCACACATACATAGAATGGTTATAGGCTTTCAATATTTCAAAGGTTAAGTCCTTTTCATGAGCAAAATGAAGCTTTATGACGTCTTTGAAGTGCAGGTATTTAATGTAATGGAGGTTCCCTGTGTAACTTTATTTATGTGAAACAATGTTACAATGCTACTCCTTTAACTTGGACTCATTGTTTGTTGTGCTGGTGGTAAATAAATATTTTACTAAACACAATCAGAAACAATGATATATTGTTAAATACCATATTGAATCATAGCTGTCATCTTGTAAATTCGATACCTTTATCACGTACATAAGGTCTGAAAGATTGCTCTCGTGTAGAGGTATGTGGCAGTATTTTAAGTACATGCAGAATGATCTGGTTATTCAAACAAGCTAGCATTCTTTATGTGTAATAAACAGATTATTGATGGATTTCGTGATTTATCGATTTGTCCGATATATTCTTGTCTCTACTTTAAATCCCAGTAGATATGTAGACTTCACAATGTGTCCGAACTTGTCTCAGGTTTAACATGTTTAAAGGGAAGGCCAGCAGCCAAGACTGAAATGAAGTCTTGACATATACAAATATTTTTGTCACCATTATAACAACTTAAGTGAGGTCCAGTTTAAATTGTTATGTGATTGTAACAAGGTGCCCCATATGTCAATCCTTGATATTAAAATGACCGTTGATTTAGTTTTCTTTCGTTTACTGTTCAGTTTACTGCTGTTATATAGAGTAAAAACAGAAAACAATGTTGAAAACTTTATTTTGTATTAGGGGCTTTAAGTATTACCCTATTAGACTTCACAATATATACTGGTAAAAAAACAGCTGACCAGTACCTTATCAAGTTGGGGGTGGGTGTGTGTGTACATTATCCAAATGGGAGAGATGGGTCTATGCATTGTCCAGGTGGGGACTTGGACTTTAGGGGTATATTTTTCTCTTTGTGACAAAAAGCTGGGCAAAGACAGTATCTATTATAATCTTTGGAGAAAAAAAATTATACTTACATTCCCTTAGGATTAATAGCAATATATTGTATCATGCTTTAGAAGATCCATAACCTAACCTTATCTGTCATATTTAGGAAGGTTATTGGTAAAAATGACCGTATCAAAGATTTTCAAGGTTTATTTTGAATATTTTCTTGTCCAATTCAAATAGCAATTCGTGAACAGCATTGTCATTCTTGGATAAGATCGATTCCAATAATTTGATTTTATTAGACAGCAAATTAAATGGATTATAGTTATCCCCATCGCTGAATCAGGTTAGCCATGAAGCCACATAGTGATCTTCCTTGGGTTCCTCTTACTTCTGAGTGTTTATCATCATGTCAAAATTTTTAATCATCAACTGAAGGTTTTTGACATTACGTATTTAAGCCTTTGTTATATATATTTTTTAGCAAATGGAACGAGGAAAACTGAAGCGAGTTCATCATGTCAGCAATATATCTACAGCTCTCAAATTCTTAGAGATGAAAAAGGTCAGTATAGCTTAGCCTTTATATGAATATTTTTATGTACGTATACAGTATGTATGTGTCATGATTAAATTGAATGAAGCAGGCTTTTTTTTTCACTTGATAATATTTTTGTGAACTTTTTCAGATTAAATTGGTGAATATCAATGTATCTGACATTGCTGATGGAAAACCATCCATTGTTCTGGGATTAATATGGACCATAATTCTGTACTTTCAAGTAAGTACTATACTAATGAAGAAATAAACATGGCCGTACATTGTTCCTCTGACTTTCCACTGATTTTTTATTTTCTCAAATGAATAAGTACATGCAATTTCACCAGAATTTTTGATTATAAAGAAACCTGTGCACAAAATCATATACTATAACTATATAATTTTTTTTTTTTTTAAATTTCTTAAAAGATTCTTGAAGGTTCTGTAGATATGATATTTAATGGTCTGAATTTTTTTTGTGGTTGTCAAGTTGGAAGTAGTAAATAAATATGAATCTGCTTTTAAGATTGAAGACACATTTGCTCAACAAGACCAGGACCCAGACAAACCTATGTCAGCGTTGGAGAAATTCCGTATGAATGCCAAGAAGGCACTTCTAGCCTGGACAGGGAATGCAATTACAAAGTATGGAATTTTTTTTACGCATTTCATTAAATATTTATTTTTCATAATCTGTCTAGTAAAACTCCCTACATGCATATCATCAAGATTTTTGAAACACGTTTTGTTGATTTCACAGGAAATATGGAATTGAAATCAAAGACTTCGGTAAAAGTTGGCGAGATGGCTTAGCCTTTAACGCCATTGTCCACACCATCCGTCCAGATCTGATAGACTTTGAGAATGTAAGGAATCAGTCGGCCCGAGTCAATCTAGAACAGGCTTTCTCCACGGCTGAGGATCACTTGGGTATTCCAAGACTCTTAGATCCTGAGGGTAAGTAGTATTCTGGGGGTCCACTTACAAAATACAGTCAAACCTTGTTATCTTGAACTTAATGGGATCAAGCAAAACTTCAAGATATCCAAGTATGTTCGAGTAACTGAGCTTAAAATTCATTAAGAAAAATTAGTGGAGACTTCCAACTGACTTTTAGATATCCATGGTAATTGAGATATCAGTGTTCAAGATAGCGAAGTTCAATTGTAATTTTGCGAAAACTTTTTTCTTCACATTATTTTTTGATAATGGTATTATCTTTCTAGAAAAATTTTGAAGGATATTTTTATGCAATCAATTTTTAACAGAAAAATTCAGTTTACATGATCACCTTGAGCTTTTGGTTTTAGTTGTGAGTTCTTTGTAAAATGGGGCCCTGGGTCCTTAATTATATAGATTCTATGGACAATGAGACTGTGTATTAGCTGAAAGATAAGCTGTTTTTATGTATTGTCCATTGAAACAGTTTCTTACATTGTGTTAATAGACCCCCCCCCCCTTTGGTAAAATTAAGAAAATGGTGGTGTTGTAACTAAAACCTTTCATTATCCATGTTACAGATGTTGATGTTGAGAAACCTGATGAAAAGTCTGTGATGACATATGTGGCTCAGTTCCTGAAAGCTTACCCCGAGGCAGGGGAGGATCCAGCTGTAAGTTATAATGAATGTAGTAAGGTCAACAGTAAATATATAAGGTCACCCCCTAGGTGGGGGAGGATCCAACTATAAGAGAGACTGAATGCAATAAGATGAAGAGTAAGGTCAACCCCTAGTGGGGAAGGATCCAACTATAAGTAAGACTGAATATAGTAAGATGAAGAGTAAGGTCACCCACTAGGTGGGGGAGGATCCAACTATAAGTAAGACTGAATATAGTAAGATGAAGAGTAAGGTCACCCACTATTTGGGGGAGGATCCAACTATAAGTAAGACTGAATATAGTAAGATGAAGAGTAAGGTCACCCACTAGGTGGGGGAGGATCCAACTATAAGTAAGACTGAATATAGTAAGATGAAGAGTAAGGTCACCCACTAGATGGGGGAAGATCCAACTATAAGTAAGACTGAATATAGTAAGATGAAGAATAAGGTCACCCACTAGGTGGGGGAGGATCCAACTATAAGTAAGACTGAATATAGTAAGATGAAGAATAAGGTCACCCCCTAGGTGGGGGAGGATCCAACTATAAGTAAGACTGAATATAGTAAGATGAAGAGTAAGGTCACCCACTAGGTGGGGGAGGATCCAACTATAAGTAAGACTGAATATAGTAAGATGAAGAATAAGGTCACCCCCTAGGTGGGGGAGGATCCAACTATAAGTAAGACTAAATATATAGTAGATGAAGAGTAAATATATAAGACCACCCGTTAGGCAGGGGAGGATCCAGATGTTAGTAAGAATGAATGGATTCAGATCATAAGTAAATATATATGATTACCTGATAAGAAAAGGAAAATCTCCCATTAAGGCCTTATGTCATTTAAGACATTGACAACTTTGAAGTGAGATGGGAAATTTCCCAATGAGGCTGTATACCTTTAACAACTTTGAAATGAATATCAGATTTTAAAGTTTTACATAAATTCTGATGCACTGTAGATACATTGTATTTTATTTAAATTTTCAGTTGGGACGAAGAAGTAAGGATCCTGCTACGCAAGAGATGAATGACTACACTGACCTGATGACCTGGTTAAGTACTGAGGCTGAAGAGGTCCTACAGATTGTTGACCAACCTGTCACTGACCGACAACAGGAATACATGGTATATAACCACTGGTCACTTTATTTGTATTATACACTTATGAATTGGTTGTACAGGGATAATTTCTTAAGGCTTGCTAAGAGCAAGTTTCTTTCAGGAATTTGATCTAATAGCTATCTCCTTTAAAATCAGTTAATAGGTTGTTATATGGATCTATGGTTGATATCTAAAATAACTTGAAAAAAAATCTTTTAGAATTTTTTTTGTGCTTTGTAGGACTATTTGGCTTTTAAAGCTGAACTTGACAGAAGACAAGCTGTTTATAAAAAATTAGAGGAGAAATGTCTGGCCAAAAAAGCCTTAAAAATCACGGAACCAATGTGGGCTGAACTGAATTCCAAATGGTGCAGTGCTGCCAGACGAACCAGAATGTGGCTGTGGAAGTTAGATGCCAGTCTTCCAGGGAAGTTGGGAAAGTTTGGAGATTGGTTAAACCAGGGGGAGGAAGTGTTAGAGCAACAGCCAGAAAATGCTGAAGACAGACTGGATCTGGCACAACAGTTAGCTAAACTGCTGCAGGAATCAGTGGTATGTACACTATACATGGTTATTTAAATCAAATTGTTTGGAATGTAATTGAACTATTGTGGAATCAATCATAAATTTGAAAAAAAATTATATTAAAAAAAGAAAGAAAACAGCAGAGTGTATCAGTTTCCCTTATTTTTAAAGCAGTTCCAAGGGAAAAAATGCAAACATAATTCAAGTTTTCCTTTTAAAGTACAAGGACTGCAGAAATTAAATGTGATATGGTTTTGAACTGATAAGTGATGGTTTAAAAAATATTTATTTGTACAGTAGATGAAGATTAAATAAGTCATACATAGTTTGATAAAAATGTGTATAAGTTTATTTTCTTAAACTAATGTATATCTTTATTTTTTTAAACTTAAGAACATGTACATTGTATATCTTGTATTTTTATAGGAATATTTCAAAGATGCAGAATCTTGGAAAACATTCTTTTATCAAGTAAAGAAAGCTGGTAAATACGAAGGAGAATTCCTGATTCAACCTCAGATGGAAAGCTTAGCCAATCGTCTGACAGCTCTACTGAAGGAATATCCGCGACGTGAGAAGCGTTTAGAATATGAGGAATATCAACAGAGGGTTATGGCCCTTAGAGAGTCGGCAGAGGCTAAGCTGGGAGTCTGGAACGAGAAGCTGGGTCAACAGGAGGAGGTGGAACAGTTATTAGAAGACTACCATGACTTTGTCGATGCTCAGCAGTTGTTAAACAATTACAATCAGTTATCAACACAGCTGGACAAAAAGGCTGAAGTCTGGAGGAAATCAGCAGGTAAAGTCAAATACTGTACAAAGAGAAATTTTCATTCCCATTTTATTTTCGCCACTCTCGCCCTCGCTGCAAGTGGGTGAATTTAAAATGAGGCAAATTCAAGAAAGACAGCATAAACTCTCGAACACAACTGTGCCTGAATGAATTTAAAACTGGGCAAATTGTTTGAAAGTGTAAAAGGGCGAAAGTGACACAAGGCTAAAATAACCCTGTATACTGTGTCTTATACAGTTTGAAGAGGGATAGTTGTGATTCAGTGAGCTCAAATTCAGATTAAGTATATGTAGATTAATTTGATAGAATGATAAGTTTTAATAAGTCTTTAAATGAATTTTTTGGAATTGTGAATGTTGAGATTCTGAGCTTCATAAGTGAATTTGTTTTCTAGGAAAAGATGGTGAACAGCAAGTGGTGGAATTTCTTAAAGAAGAAAGGACACAGTGGAAGAATGTTTCAGAGGACATTAAAAATGTGTTACCAAAATTAGAAGGTGCTTTAGAAAACTGGAAGCAGTATAATGCTAATATTGAAACATTGACAGCTTTTATAAATGAAGGGGAATCGGTGATGTCCCGGTCTAATGAAGAAAAACAGCAGCATTTCAGTGAAATCCCGGTCTATCAAGAAAGACTTCAGCAGGTCACAGATTCAGGGAATTATCTGATCCATGTCTGCCGTGAACCAGTGGCAGAGGAAATAGAACAGACTCTAGCACTACTGAATACGGAATTTAGAAATGTCACAGAGAGTTTCGAGGAATTCAAAAAAGTGGAAATTATTGGAAAAGGAAGACAAGAGTATGCAGAAGGCGTAGAAAGGCTTTCTGAATGGTTGAAGAATGCAGAGGAGTTGATGATGCAGCCAATACCCTGTATTCATTCAAACCTAAAGGATCATTTACAGGACATGACTGTATGTATATCTACCCTGTCTGTGGTGTTGATCATAAGAGGTGCTTAATGTTAAAAGAGATTGTTCTTTACAATTCCTTTTAATTCACTAGATTCCTAATTAACAACAGAGAATTAATTTAAGGAATTAATTAGATAGTTACAGTGTTATTGCTGAATATATTATCCACTTAAAACAAATGATTGTTTTGGTAATAGTATTTCACTTATAATAAGTTTATATTTTTATGCAGCTGTGTGGGAATCAAATCCCAGAAATGGAAAATGATTTCAAAACCACAACAAAAACTGCTCAATCCCTAGTCAAGGACAGCGACCAGGAAGTGGTCAACGAAATGCTACAGACTCTCAATATCCAAAAAGAGGTCATAGTGAGACTGAGAAAAGAAATTCCAGAGCGCATTAAATACCTCAAAGCCGTTCTTCCAAATGTAGAGTCCCTGGAAACAGGCATCTCTGATCTGAATATTTGGTTAGATAAAGGAGAAAAAATACTCAGTAGTAACAAAATGGAGGGCTCTCAGAAAGGTGCAGAGGAGAGGTTAGAAAAACATAAGGTATGTGGACTGTATACTTTATGCTCCCCCCTCCTCAAGCAAACAAAGTTTGATCTTGACCCATAATAATCGGACAAGTTCAAGGTCAATGACTGGAAAGTAAAATGCCATGTAATATGACTATCTGCTATTTCATTAAAAAAATTCTACCAACAATTAACAATATTAAGTGGGGGACAGGGTATCATTTGTGAGCTTTACTCACAGTACCTCTAGTTTTATCTTGGCATAGTCAGAAAATTACAGAAAAAACAAATTAATCTTAATATTTGTTATATTTCCTCTTGATCAGAAGGGCAGACTATGAATGATGTTTTAACATTAATTTCTTTGAAGGCTTTCTTTCAAGAAACAACTTATCAAAAATCCATTGTTGAAAGCAAGAACAAAGTTCATCAAAAAGTGACCAGTACAAAGTCCAAGCTGAAGAATGTAGATTTCAGTCCAGTGGATGATCCCATGTCTGCACTTAATCAAAGATTTCAGGTATTGTTTTATTGTGGAACCTGACACAAGATTTTATAAACGTTTTTAAAATATTTACTTTTATTACTTTTGGGACAATTATCAGTGTGCTAATTTGGAAAACTCAAAATATATTTCTTATAAATATGATACATAGAAATTCTGATAGCGTTATAAATTCTAGTTCAAGCCCTACTTTTTGCAGTAAATTTTGAATACACCATGATAAGTACATTTTTATCCTGTGTTTGTAAATTTTATTAGGAGTGTATAGGAAGTGCCAAGGACTGGGAGAAGAACCTGGAGAACTTGTGTCGATTATGGAGGGTGTATCAGCAGAAGGAGGCAGCTGTAGACGGCTGGTTACAGCAGGCCAGAGCCGTACTAGATGACCAAGCTGACGATCCCGAAACATGCATCCGTAAACACAAAAAGTTTTTTGATAAAGTGGACCACAAGATAAAAGACGAATGTTTGAAGGCAGGTCAAGACATTGTAAATGTTCTAGAGAAATGCGACCAAGTGGAAATCCAGGATCGAATGTCGGATGTAAACGAGAGATGGAAGGTACCCATAATCTTAAATTTCTCAGTTATCCAGCATTTCATCTTTGAAAAAAAAGGAATATTTTTATTTTTTTCTTATATAAGTTGGTATTGAAGAGGAGACAGGGGCATTAAAATGGATTTTAAGCTATAGAAATTATGCCATAATACTCAAGATATACTTATTTGACTGTCAGTGTCCATAATCCTCTTGTATCTTTGTAGGCAATACTTGCAGAAGCTCCAGTGTGCCTTCTGAAGCTGGAGTTCCTCCTGCCAGAAATGAATTTTGTGTCTAATGTAGAAAAGGCTGAAAAGACATTACAGCAGGAAAAGGCACAACTTCAACGAAATGAAAATGTGAAAGCAACACTGCAAAAACACAGAGTATGTTTTTTATTGCTTTAGAGAATGAACATTTGTTGTAAAACTTAATGAGATAAGAGTCAGTCTCTTGTTTCATTAATATCTTTTTCATCATCGTATGAAACATTTAACAAAAGAAGTAAATTTGCTACTTTAGATTTGGTACTTCGTCTTTCTTAGTGTTACAAAATTCAAATAAATTTTTTTTTGCTTTGTGCTACTGTACTAATGTTAAATCAGGTCCATATAGATGCATACTATGTAGAACTCAAAATATTAGTGGAAAGTCATATAGCTTGATACATTGATATGCTGTGCATGATACTTAATTCTCAAGCTATAGCTTTGCACAACTTTTTTTTATTTAGCAAATGTTCAATGAAGGTCCATTTAGACCCACTTGCATCAATTGTCTTGAGACAATGCAGAAACTGGCAGTGGATTTAAACAAGCTGGACCCTAAAGACCACAGTTTACAGGACCGATATGAAGATAACAAAGCTCGCTGGGACAAACTTCAGACCATCATGGATAGTGTTTGTTTAGAGCTAAAGCAACTCCCAGAACGATGGAAGGAATATAATCAAAAGTAAGGGCTAAGGCTGATGACAGTTTGAACATAATGACTAGTGTTGTTTCACAAAAGCATTTAAAAAAAAAAATGAAGTTGGGGTAAAATTCAGTATGGTTGATTTATATACATGTATTATGCGTAAAAAAGTTCTAGCAATTAATGTCAAAATTTGCAGTATGTAATTATGAAAACAATATTTTGACAGACTTGATGACTTTGCCACAAATGTTGCCACAATCCAGGATTTGATGACACAGCTACAGAAGGAAGATTTAACCAATGAGGAATACAAAGACTTACAAGCTAAATATCAAGTAAGAACTAGGCTTCTTCATCTATAATAGTTTTCAGCTCATGTGAGATCATGCCATTAGTTTAACATGTTAGTCTGGATGCTGATTTCTCGCTGATGTAACAGAGTCTCTATGTTGTTTCTTATAAAATGTAGTGTTCTTACTCTGTATATATTTTTGTGTGCACATTTAATAATGTACAAGTCCTTTTAGGTCAGCTGTAATAACTTTCTAGAAAGATGCATGTAAATGTGAGTAATGTTAATGCTTGTCATAATAATTTACAGAGAGCTGTAAGAAACATGGGTAAACTGTCAGATGATGCTAAGTGGCTACAAGAAAACTTAAATGAACTACTTCAAGACAATGGAGAGACTGACACAAAGAATGAACAAAAACGCTTACAAGATCTGTTGGCCAAATTCTCTGGACTGCAGCCAGATTTGAATAGAGTGTCCGAGAAGTCGGCCATTTTCTCTAAGGCCTATGACTATAGAGACAATCTCGAGAAGCGCAGCCATTGGTTGGACGAGACCCAGAGACTGGTCAGTGACGACCCAAGTATTGACGGTCTGGAGGATGCGAGGGCGTACCTACAGGAACATGAGGTAAATCAAATGTATACAATACATATGGATAACCTAGTGTTTTAGTGCTGTGTCATATTGTTAAGAATTTTTATTTATTTATGTTTTTTGCTGACAAGATTAGAAATGAAAGTACTAGTAGATCAATAACTGAAGTTTACTGCCAATGCAGTACAGCTAGAATAAGTTGTTTGATGGTAGATTTTAGGGAGATGAATGGGTAGCCTTTGCTGCTGAAATAATGCTGATGTTTTCATGTTTTTCTTCCATACAGGGCTATGTTAGTATTTTACCGGACTATTTGGTGACAAATTGCATATTAGTTATTGTTTTTATACTATTTTACCTCTCCTGTATTCAGAAGTGTGTCTTTTTATTTCAATTTTTTACCTTGCTTAAAAAAATTCTGTTGTGCGAAAATTCAAATTTTTTATCTTCCAACACAAAGCCTCCTGATGCATGTATAACAATGTTGTGAAAGTGGAAAGCAAGATGTGTTGCACTAAATTTTGGAAATTCTGTCATTGTATTCCTATCAACCCATTTCTGCACTTGTTAACCAATCACAAAAAAAAAAAAACAATCTCAAAAAATCAAGGGGATCACAATAACTCATTTTCCTGAGTAGTTACTATCTTACTGTGGTACAAACATATACATTCCCATTCACAATCAATTTTTTAACTAGATTATTAAGTTTGTACATAATTAAAATTCTGTTAAGAGTTTGAGTAAAAGGATCTTGTGAAATCTGAGCCAGTGACGAGACAAAAAAAGCAGAACTCTGGTAGAGATTGCTCATTCATGTTGGTGAGGGGCATATATTTTAAAGGACTTATCGCATAATCTTACAAAAATCGTAATTTTATGAAAAATATTATCTATAACCTTATTTATTAAAATACTGAATACAATAAACGTTGTTGAAAGCATATTTTAAGAGATATTGAGAGTTGAAATTCAAATACGGTAATATGCATATTTCTGTCGGATTTCGGCGAAATACTGCTCTGACGTCATAGGCGACAATTCGGTGATAGAGAGATGAGAATATGAACACTAATAACGGAGCTATCGATGGCAAATGCAGCTAAATTACGAAAAATGCTGAAAAAATTAATTCTTTATATCCTTTTCAATTACTATAGAAACATTAATTAGTTCTAAGGTATGAGGCTTTTAAGATATTTTCGTTTTTTATTCAAAACATTTAGAACCTGTAGCTCTAATTACGGCAATGTTTCGTGATCGAGAATTTATTTTTCAAGATCACCATACTTGATACTTTAAAAAACGTATGAAGACTTCCATAAATTAATATTATATACAAAACGAAGAATAACAAAGTTATATAAGTCATAATGTTTAATATGTGAATCAAATAAGTTAATACATGTGATAAGATGACAAATCAAATTGCATTGTTATGGCGAGTTTCTTCGTTTTCGCTGCGTCTCCCTCGCTATCGTCGCTGGTATTTTTACAATGTTAACAGGTTTTTCAGATTTTTTCTTGCTGACAATTCTAACATATAAGGTTGAATATTCTATTTTATATCGATAAAATAAGTGATTTGGTCGTCCACAACGCAGAAAATTCAGGTTGTATCGCGTATATTTTAGTAAGATTAATGAAGAGCTGATCAGCCATTGTCGCCTTTGACGTCACAGGGTCACGTGATCGTTATCTAATTAACTTAGATTTTTAATTCAGGGGTTTTCATTTGAGTCAATAATTGGTTAATTACCGCGATTTATCCACAGTAAAAACACAGAATTTATAAATTGTGTTCATAAGGAACGTAATACGCATTTAGTTTCAAATAATTTAGAAACATGCGATAAGTCCTTTAAAGTCCATAATTAAGGAGGTGAAAAAATATTTTTAAAAAGTCTTTCACTTATATTTACATGTATATATAAAAAGACTGCATTACTATTGCAAAAAAAAAAAATGTATTGAAATCTTTTATTTATCAATTTGATATCTTGAGCTCTTCTCTGATTTGTGAGTAATAGAGTGCTAAATGGGTTGAAGTGCTATCTTGAGTAGGATATGAACCAACCAACCAACAAACAAACACAATGGAACACAAAAAGAAATGACATAATGTTAAAAATTGAATGACTGATATTCATCAGTTTTTTTGCTAGATGTTGAAATTACAAACATATTGCTTTCTACGATCTGACAAGCAGGTTCTGGACACTTGATTGGTTTGCCTGTAGACTAGACTGGTGATAAGTGCTCAAAGTGTCCAGGCCTTGCTTTAAAAAGGAGCTTGTGTTGATTTTGATATTGTGCTGAAAAAAGATACACTACTAAATGCACCTCAAGCATGGGAAAACGTTAATGACTTAGGCAATGATTGAGTATCTATATATGACTGTCTTTTCATGATATTTTTACCAACTCACTGTTAACCATCTATTTTTTTCCCCTTCTTATTTGGTGTGTTGCTTGACTGCTTTTCTCTGCAGAGAAGTTTTGTGAGGATCTTTTTACTAAAGTAGAAAAAAACATGGGTATTTGATCAGTTACTTACCAAAAATTAATTTGTGAATTCAGGTGATCTATATAAATCTGTAGGAATTTATTTATCCTCTATTGTTGCAATAGGTTTTTACCTGCATTTGTTGCATTATCATTCATTTGTTATGCCCTCAGCATTATAAATAATAATGGGAGAGCATACATGGCTATCCATGTTGTGCCCATCCACCCCGCTCTGCTTTTTTGTGCAATAACTTGTTACTTGTTAAAGTTGGAATGATCATATTTGCCTCATGGGTTGATTTAAAGAATACCTTGATGAATTTGCCATGTAGGTCATGGGTTCAAAGCATGTAACTGATGTTGCTAAAAATAGAATTGTATTTCCATGAAATAACTAGAGAAGGGGCGCATGGGGTTCGGAAGTTCTAATATTTCCACTATGGAAAAGCTGCTGGTATTGTTTTTGGGCTTACAGGGTTGGAAGGAGTAAACTTCTATTACTAAAAATATTAATTTTCAGGGTCATGGGAAGGATTGTGGGTATATTTATTAATATATGTATATGCATTGTTTCCATGCATTTTTTGGGATGGTTTAATTTGGATGTAACCCACAGGTTGTTTTAAAGGTAGTAAGCAAATAGAAGTATGAGTCAGTAGACCAATTTTTGTTTTTAGGACATTTTTTTTCAGATTATTCACATTTAAGTTTATAAAATAAGTAAAATGATAGATAACTTCCTGATGTCTACAGAAGATCTTGCACACTGCTATGTAAGGCAGAGAGACTGAACAAGTTGCATTTCATATGATTATGCCCATTTTTTTGACAGAATTTTGGCCGTTTTGGGAGTGGAAAGGTCACTTTTGGGGAAAATGTGTTTAACAAATATTTTTTGCTGAATTACATTGTAAATGAATTCTTGAAATATCAACAAAAATATAAAATGTATTTATTATGGAATACCTGATATTTCATGATTTCAGGATCAGAATTTTTTCTAGTCAATCAGGGATGCACCAGAAAAGCATTCCACTTTGTATCAGGAACCCTTGGGTAACAAATCTGGTAAAAATTAAGAAAAAAGGCATATATGCATACTTTTTCATCTTAGAAACATTTCAGTTCTTGCATGTGTTGTGCAGGAAGGCTAAATTTAGGGGAAGGGTTTGGGAATATTAACTTTAATCATGGCATGATCCTTGAAAGATTAACTAATGTGCAGCCTGCAATAATTTCTAAACACAATTTTAAGATTTTTTTTCCATTTGACAATACATTTATTAATGAACAACACATAACATTAATATTTCTGAATTCTGAAAAATTTATTTGGATAAAAAAAAAGGGGGGGGATCTGTTTTCTCCAAGAGGTCACATTTGACCAGAACAGCTCAGCTGTTGCATGAAGATGTTAAACAGTTGTTGAGTGTTTAGTGAGATTACAGGAATATGACATATCTTAAAATATTCAGTGGCAAAAATTTGTAAAAATAATCATTTAATGGTTATATAATTATACACTTTACTATGGTGTATCAGATGAGGTATGCATACAGATTTTTATCGAAATCTAACGTGTTATTAATTTGTATGTACACCTCATCTAACTTTTTAAGCAGTCTCAATGGCAAAAAATACCTGTACTCATTCAATGCTTAGAGAAGTGAATGGTAACTATAGGCTACCTTATCTATTAGAAATGTATGACAATTAAAAAAAAAAAAGAATTTGATCAGATTCATATTGCTTACTGAACTTGAATCATTACCTTCTTAAACCATGAGTGATTTTCAAATTAATTGTAATTTTTAGAAAATGCACATTTGCAAATGAAATTAAAAAAATGTTTGTTTATAGCTGATAGGGTTTGTTTTCATCTATGTATGTATGGCAGCTTTGATTGACTATGTTGATACATTATGATAATACCCACCAATGATCTACTTATGAGATGTTCCTAGGTGGCTGATCAGATTAGATTAGGGCAGGGAATTGAGTGGTTAATGTAGAAGTTTTCTATCTGTAGAATATCATGATGAAACTGGATTCAGAGAAGCACAACATTCAGGCCGACATAGAAGCTGGCAAGCGGCTCCAGAGGGAAAAGAACGCACCAAAATTTGTCGCCGAACAGGTCAATGAGTTAGACAAGAAATGGAAGGACACAAATGACAAAGCCAGAGCTAAACATGAAAAACTCAAGGTAAGACATTAATCCAACAAGTCTCGAAAGAGGGAACTAAGATAATTAAAATGTATGGGTTTCTTTATCACTATCTGAAAAAGGTAAGGAATTTTACTTCATTCACAAGCAAAATTATTAAAGGTATTTTACTTCATTCTAGAACAAAATTATGAAAGGTTAGTGACATTTCCTGATTTTTAAAGGAGGGGGGGGGGGGTCATTTTCTTGCAAGGACATTTTTAAAAAAATTTCTTTGGGAGGGGACTTTGTCACATATGAAAAATGTAAATTTTTGCTTAGTTCAGTGATTTTAAAGAACAATTATGCATGGATGTATATTGCAAAAAAAAAAAAAAGATTTATCAATCTTCAAATCACTTTGCCTTTCTTACAGCAAAAAGTAAAGGAATGGGAACAGTATGAAACAGAGAAACAGAATCTACTACAATACTTAAAGGAAGCAGAGAAAGAGCTGGAAAAACCCCCAGCCACCACAGGACAGGATGTGGCAGAAAAAGACCTCAAAGCTAAGAAGGTATGGTAATAAAAACTTGTATACAGGGATTTTTTCAGCATGTCTTATTTTGCTCTAGGACACTTTTAAATGATTTTGCCCTGTTTTAAATTCATCCTCAACTGACAACAAGACATACATGTGATATGTACCTGCCGTACGCAAAATGTACAGTTTTTTCGAGCCCATTTATCGTGTACCGGCATGACACCAAAATTCACGGAATATGAAAATTTGTACAGTATTTTGAATTTCTCGCTAAATGCCGCCATTTTCCTCTCATTTTCGCTCACGAGACACCGGAAAAAGTCACCTGTGTTTGAAACTTGACCTTCTGATAATTGTGTAGTGTACACAAACCATCGCGTGTGAAGGTGTGAACTGCCAATTGGGATAATTATCTTGCTATAAATCCGTATCAAGATGCCCCTTTAGGTAGCTTTATTTTTAAAGGGGTACTTAATTACAACTGTTAATGTTTCGTAATTTGATTGGAAAAAAAATTAAGCCAACTTCTAAAGTTGATATACATGACTTCATATACATGAATCTGACCCAGATCTCCGATGTTTATTACCATAATTACGATGAAATGAAGGATATAGTTTTAAGTTTTTATGTGCTGAAATTTATGTATGATTGTATTTGCTGCTGTTATTTAGCATTGCTGATGTATATATTAGTTATATGAACAAGATGTAAATTGGAGACATTGACTCTCACGTTAATACTAAATAAAGCGGGCAAACAAACTATCATCTAAACTAGTTAATTTATAGTCGATTCATAAAAACATTGTGATTATAAAACACAATATATGAAATTTTAAAGCATTCAAATCTCCATTACAACTTTTAAAATAAGACATTTGCAATAATATATATTTGTTGGTTAAGAAATAAGGTGCCTTATCAGAAGAATTTAAGTGATATTTTATACCGTTTTTTGTACCGTTTTTTTGATAGGCAGTGTACAGTTTTTTCACCCAAATTCCAGTTTTTTTATGGCTCCTGTACAGTTTTGTGGTCTTTGACTTATCACATGTATGACAAGAGCAAATTAAAATTGGGCCAAAGATTAACAATATGGCTTCATTTAAAATAAAATATTAAAGTAGTTCAGGTAAACATGAAGGCTAGTTTTCAAATCATTTATATTTACTTCAAGAAATATATCTGATAGTAAGAACTATGCAAAGAATTAAATGATCTTCATTTCTTTAAAACAGGAGCTACAAAAGAAGTTGAATAAATTAAAAAGCAGCTTATCAGATATGCAGAAACTAAATGAAGCTCTCTGCAGTGGTGCTAGCCAGGAAAGAAGAGGACCTCTCAAAGGAGAGATGACGGACATCGATAAACGTCTCGATGGTGTTTCTGTCAGACTTAATGCCAAACTTAGTGACTTGGAAGCCACCATTGCTAAGTGGACGGAATATTACAAGAGGCTTAATCATTTCTGTGATTGGTTGAATGAAAAAGAGGCTAAACTTAATGAGGTCTATGAAAACAAATCTGATTCTCCAGAGGAACAACTTCAAAAAGCAACAGTATGTATTGTGATGTTATCATTAACTAAAAAAATGAGATACTCTTTGAATATGACTTCAACGCAAGGATATATATACAAAATGTAATAATAACTAGTTTAGTGTAAGGAATCTCCATTTGATGAATAGTGATAACTTTGGAGGGGATGCACCATACATTGGATATACTGTATTTTCAAGGAAAAATTACAGAAGTGGACACCTAGAAAAGAGGGTGTCATGCTTATGATTGCATTCCTTTTGGGTCCAAAGTTGATGAAAAATTTCAAGTTTGCAACAGACACATAATGTTACAGTATTTCATGAATATATAGCAGCATTTGTGCAACAAACCCCTCTAGACGTTTCACTTGAAATGATAATCTTTATTTTAGATGACATATAAATTTCTTCAATTGTAGGCAATAGCTGGAGAAGTGGCCGATAACCACATTACTTTGGAGACCTTGGAAAAAGATGCCAGGGGGATGTCCCAAAATTTCCGCTCCAGAGAAACTTCAGCACTAAAAACCAAATTATCAAGTGTCCGAAGGCAATGGGAAAATTTGTGTTCTCGTGCCAAAGACAGGAGTTCTGCTCTAACTGGAAGTGTAGCCCACTGGCAGATGTACCAAAATCTGAATCAGCAACTGATGCCTTGGATAGAGAAGGCAGAGAAATACTGTGCGACTGAACTCCCTAAATGTTCTTCTGTTGAGGAAGCTAAAGATATACATGAACTCCATCAGGTTAGTTCTAAAATTTTCTATAAATTTTGCCTCTGTCATTCTTGAATGATAGAAAAAAAATTTAAAAAATTCTCAGATGAATTCAGTATAAAAATGTTGATTTGGGTTTTTAGGCTTTCCTTCATGAGTGTGAAGAGCAATTTCCTGTGTTTGAGAAGTTAAACACAGAGGCAGGTTACCTAATGGATCAACCAAACATGCAACGAGACATAGAGGCCTTACAGAAACGCTGGAACAACATCATCAACAATTCAGAAGAAAGAAGCCACAAAGCAGACAAAATGTTTGGTGCATGGTCTGCTTTTGATCAAGAAATCAACAATTTTGATGAGATTTTGGATAAATTTCAGAATAAGCTTGCTGAAGAACCAAATGTGGCATCAACTGATGTTCAAGTTCTGGAGCATGAGCTTGCACTCTGCAAGGTAATATCATCAGGAGTTTACACATTAGTCTTAAGGTTCATTGTCCCTCTGATAAGAAAAATAACTCCCACTGGGATTAATTACTGTAGATTCCTTATTTTACATGAGTACTTAAGCTATTTAATAATAAAATGACAGTCATTTGGAAAAACTTATTGGTCTGAACCTTTTGTATTGTGTAAAAATTTATTTTTTTTTTATTTGTAGAATTTACAAGAGGAGATCAAAGGCCAGCAACCACATCTTAATGCTCTTCAAAGACAGTTTGAACAAGTCAAACAGCATGCTTCACCAGAGGGAGCGAAAGCCCTGAAGTCAAAGCTGGATTCTGTGAAAGCAGCATATGCTGATATAGCAGAGAATGCTGCAGAGAGGCAGGCAGTATTGTCAAATGCTGTCAAACACAGGCAGCAGTTTTATGGTCAACTCCAGGATTTTGAGAAATGGCTTAAAAAGTCACAACGTAAACTTGATACTGGCAATGAAATATACGCAGACGAGGTTCAGGATATGCAATCAAAGTTAAAGGTAATTTGAAAATTGTAATTAAATTTTTATTTCAAGAATTTTGTATATTGTGAATGGATATTTCATGCTTAAAAATCTAATGTAATTTTTTTTAAAGTTTATATGATCAAATAGGTAATGTTTTCTGTATGACTAAGTTTTTTTGGAATAAAATTACTTCCCATGGGACTCTTGTTTAAAAGTGGATAGATGATATGGAAATGTGTCTATAAAGGTGTTACTTTGATTTTTAATGGCAGGCTCTAAAGGAGGACAGTGAGGCTCATGAACCAATGTTCAGTCAGCTGACACAGGAATTCAAGGATCTAATCCAGAATTGTCCTGAAGAAGAGGCAGCCATACTGAGGGATCGCTACGATCATTTAATGGCCAACTACAGCAAACTGGATGATCTGATGAAAAACAGAGAAGAAATCTGTGAAAACTGGTCCAAGTATGCAGCAGACCACAAGGACACACAGACAAAATTGAAACTGTTACAGAGTAAACTTGCCTCTCCTGACATCCAGCAGGAAGAAGTGGAGAAAATAAACAAAGAAGTGGCAGCTATCCGAAAAGCCATGTTACCATGGAACAAGCAGGCCAATAAGTTGGACGATCAGATGGGTGCGGCTCATATGGTCATTAAGGACAGAGCTACACAACGAACACTGCACTTTAACTCAGAGCTGCAAAATCTGGAAGCCATGTGTGATAGTGTGTGTGTCAATGTTCAGACAAAGCAAGGACATTTGTCAGAACTGTCTCAGCTGTGGGAGGAATTCGCCAACAGAAAGGACAGTCTTCTTGCAGTGCTTCAGGAGCTTGCTGAGAGAGTGGGTGGAGCTGCAGTAAATACCTCCAGTCTTCAGGGTGTCAAGGAACTTGTTAGAGAGACTGAGGTACTTATGAACTTTCTTTTAAATCATAAACTTTATTCAAATTGAGAATGATCTTATCGAGGATAATGACTGAGATTGGGGCTTGTATGTTTTGGACCTCAGCCTTTGGCTTTGGTCAACATTTTTGTTTTCAGGTGCAAGAAACATATGTAACCCTCACAATCAGTCGATAAATTTGATACTGAGAATCACTGTGTAAACTCGAACTTGGAATATAGGTTGTAGGATGTTTAGAAAAGATCATAGGGTTTGAAAGTCTAGGTCATAATAATGCTGTAAAAATTCATTCTTGACACAATGAAAAGGTGTTTATGACCAGAATTAAGTTTAAAGCAAATGTACAATATTGAAAGTATTAATTCATATATTGATTTTGTTTGAACAATTTTTAAGGATGCCAGAGATGATCTGTACAGCCACAGTCAGGAGTACGAACAACTTCGAGAGCTCGGTCGCCAAATCATGCAGTCAGACACTACCAGGGGACCCACTGTCCAGGGTCATTTGTCGGAAATCAACAAGGCATGGGAACATCTCACCTCCTTATTAGGAGAGAAGCATCTTCAATACAGTGGCACGGCCAATCTCTGGCAACAGTACCTAGACGCCAAGCAGAATGTGGGCCGTGTTTTGGATGGAGTAGCACCACAAGTCAACCAAGAACTTAACTGCAAATCTCAACCAGATGTTAAGAGAAGCCTTGACCAGCACAAGGCAAGTGGATAGCATTGTTTTTCTCATCCCCTTGATAAGGAGTGATTTTAATGTAATGTTTCTTTTGATGCCATGAGCAGGTTTGACATAATGTTGCTTTTTCTGTACAATAGAATGCTGAATTTGAATTGCATGCCAGCCAGTCACAGCTGGATCAAATGAATACAAGAGGTCTTCAGCTGTTGGAGGAATTGAAAAACGTACCCAACTTTGACGTATCTGTTTTGGAGCAGGACCTGGATGCTATCAATCACCAATGGGAATCCTCCAGTGAGGTAAAAACTCTCAGTATGAATCATATATTAAATTATATTAAGGTTCATGGACCCTTTGATAGGAAGAATACCACTTATTGGAAAAATTGATTATAATACCTATATAAAATTTTCTAGTTAAAAAGGCTTTTTCTGTCAAATTTTGTGTCACAAGATATGCTTAAATTGTGTGAATCTTAACTATAATTTAAGAGGGCTGGGTGGGTGTGGCCATTTTCAGACTATATTGATCTCCTTTAGAAGAAGAGCTCCATATAAAGATAAACAAAAATGATCAAATTTTATAACTAAAATTTATGAAATTTTTGTTTGCCAAATGATAGTTGACAGGTTAAGATATCATATCTAAAAAATTAAGTTGTATCTGATGGTTAATTTCTTGACCTCCCCCCCCCCCCACCCACCCACCCCCCCACCCCCTTCCCCAGCCTCCTTAAGATTTCTTTGGAAAATGATGAACATTAAAGGGAATTTTATATGAATGATCAGAGGGAAGACGAACCATAAATGCTCTCCTTGTTTAGAATGATTTACGTAACCTCCGACTCTTACTTGACTTTGTTGTAATTCTGTAGGTGGTTGAACAGCACAAAGAAAACCTGGAAGCTCAGCTGATCTGCTGGGATCAGATCCAGTCCGGAAAGGAGGAGGTGGAGTCCTGGCTTAATACCATGGTTACCAAGCTGGATGACAGTCTCAACAACTTTGAGGATGCAATAAGTGTGGAATCATGTCTTGTGAAATTCAAAGTATGTTTTTATTTGAAAAACTGATAGTATTGTTTTTACTTTAAGTAATGGAACTTGCAGTTACGTTTGGCCAAAAAACATAATTGGGAAAAGTAGTAACAGTAACATCTCCAAAGTCTGTTGGTTAACATCACACTTATTTGCATGTATATTGTGTATTAAAGTTACTTTGAAAATGTGACATAAAAAAAGATTGGTTAGGTAATAAGGAAGAGCCCAGAGCTTTTAATAACACCCCCCCCCCCCCCCCCCCCCCTTAGAAAAAATCAGATTTGAATGGAACAAATCTGAATTTGCATTCAATATGATACTAATGTAATAAATTTTTTTCCTTCCAAGGATGAGTCTCCATACTATGCCGATGTTTTGAGTGAAGTCAAGCAAAAGGTGCAAGATTTGGAAGAACTAAACAACAACAAAGCCATTCCATCTCTGGTGGAATCTCAAGAAGTTTTACAAGAGCAGTTTGACAGAGCCACAAACATGGCCAGTCAGCTGGAAAATGTCATCGCCAATTTCTCTGATGAGAGGGAAAGGCTCCAGAAAGTCATGGAGAAGGAGACAGAATGGTTGAACCAGATGAAGGACAAGCTTGGGAACTGTGATGATGTATCAGGAACAGATGCAGATATTGTCAAAAGACTTAATCATTGTAAAGTAAGTATGGATTCTGTGTCTTAAAAACTAAGTCTGATACATGTATTTAACTTCAAATTGCAGAATTCCAGGTTGATTTTTTACAAGACTAAAAAGTCACTGATTTGGCTGAAGTATATGTTTCATTTCACACAAGAGGTCTGATTTGGAAAGTAACTCCTAAATGGCCTATTCAGCAACATGTCATAAAGGTTATATATATTAGATATAGTGAAAAAGAGAAATTTGTTTGGGGAAAGGGGAAGACTCCACCCTCTCCCCCCCTCTCCAACACACACGGAGGACAAAATGACAACATCTGTTTCAATGTTTATCTTAATAATTTTAATAAAGATCATATAAACATGCATGTTACATTTTTTTCAGGAGATCCAGAAAGAATTAAAAGCCAGAGATAAAAATTTCAAGGCTCTAATAGACAAAACTAAATCACTACAAGACAAGTACCCATCTGCAGAAACCCAGAATCTGGCCAAAGATGCTGTGGTATTGATGAAGAAATTTGAAGCTGTACAGAACAGAGGGGACAAGATAGCTGACCTGCTAGAGGCCTCCCTGGAGCAACACTGTCAGGATGCTCAGGTTCAGGAGCAACGGTGGATCAGTGCTGCTAAAGAAAAGGTGGCTTGGTGTGGAGACATTGCTGGTGATCGATACAGCATGGAAGCCAAGTTAGCCACAATTAAAGTGAGTTCAAGATTCTAAATTGTGTAATGCCTGTGATAGTTTTAAACATGTATGGTTGTGATACACAGCTGGTTTACTTACTTGAGTTTTTAGAAATTTTGGAGAGAATACCAGTGAAAAATGGTGCACAATATAGTATAATAAAAGCAACGTCCTTATTAGTTGTGGATTTAAGGAGAGCTCAACAGAGTACAAAGTTTTAGATTGGAATGACAAAGGAAAAAAAATATAAAATTTTCTCTAAAACAACAATTTGAAGGCTAAAATTCGTAAAAATTAATGTCGAAAATTTCAGGACCTAATGCAAAGTGTCAGTGAGGGAAAGAAGAAAAAGGATTTGTCAGCATCTAAAGTCGGTATGGCTAAATCTGTCCTCCCTCATGACAAACAAGCAGAACTTGAAAAACAGAAAAAGAAAGCTGACAAGGACTGGAATGAACTGATGGACTTGATAGAGAAGACACGGTTAGTATGGGAATCTGTGGAATAGTCATTTTACCTTACATTGATATATCAGCTTTGCCAAATTTTATTCCTTGGTTTATCAATACGTTGTGGGATGTCTCTATACAGTAACTGATTTTAAAAAAAATACACTTAGAGTTATAGTAGAGTTACTGCAGTGATGAAGATTCTACATAAATATAATTGTCTTTGAAGAGAGAAGTTGGAGGGCTCTGTTGATCAGCTGTCAGCATATGATAGCAAGTATGAAAAACTGACCAAATGGCTGAAGGATACTGAGGCAAAGGTCAGGAACGAGTCCACACTGAAACCAGATCTTCCAAGTAAAGTGGACCAATCAGAGCTCTTCACAGTAAGTTGAAATGGGGCTGAGAAACAATGTGTCAAAAAATGGCACATTTGGAGGCAAAAGGAAAATTAAATCAGTTGAGTAAATAAGAAGATAGTTTTATTTACCAGCAGATCTAAAGGTGATGAAAATGTGTAATAGCAGGAAAAAGCACGGGAAATTTAATGTAGTTTGAAAGTTCACTAAGAGACATTTAATCACTTTATGTACCTGTTTCAATTTACAGGAAATACACATGGATGTGGAGAATCACAAACCAGAATTTGACCATCTGAGGAATGAGGCCCAGAGTATCTCTAAAACCAGTGGCGACCTCAGAGCAGCCACATACGCTACACAGCTGTGTAATCGCTACGAAACCTTAGCAGCCACAGTCAGGGTATAAACTGTAGTTCTAAAAATAAGGTCTTTGGTTTCCAGTTATTAAGAATTTTCAAGCAGACTGTTGTATTCTCATTTTATACCATGACAGGAACAAGTGGAGCGTTGTGACCAGAATGTGAATGATCAAGAGGACTACCAGCACAGGATGAGAGCCTGCGAGGAGTGGCTTAAATCTGTCCACCTAGAGCTGGAGGAGACCAACGACCGCCCGGCAGACCAGGAGACCCTCCAGTCCAAACTACAGGCTGTAGAAGTAAGGGTTTACTCCACTGTCTAGATTTTAAAAGATCAAGCATGTACGATATACTGAAAACATAAACTGAATTTATTTGTTAAAAAAGTATGATTTTTAAGGGATTTGTATAGGTCAGTTGTACTTGGTAAACTGCAAAAACTACACCCGAAGTTTTTGTTAGGAAAGGCATAAAAATATATCCTAACAAATATATTTGAAATTTTTAATTGTGAAAAATATTGAAATATTGCTTTTTTTTAAGGACTTGATGGAAAGCAAAGATGAAGGACTTGGACTTTTCAATGCTGCATTGGAGTCTGGAGAGAAACTCTTCCCTAACACGTCCAATGATGGTCGAGAATTGATACGTCGTGAACTCAGATCCCTGAGGGAAAATTGGGAATTATTTAACGACAGTCTGAATGACACCCAAAGAAGTCTCGAAAGCAGTCGCATGCAGTGGTCAACGTTTGACGAAAACTACGATCAGCTGTTGAAATGGGTCACAGATATGGGTTGTCAGATAGAGCATGATAATGAATTACGCAATACACTTCAAGAAAAGAAAGCCATGCTGCAGCATTACCGGGTATTTTGAAGTGATATATAAGATTTCCTAACACATGTGTAATTCGTTTGGTGTTTGGTATTCCTTATGCAGTGCATATATAGTGTGTTTTGCTTGAAATAATCACATCATGAAAGCTACATTTATTATTCTAGGAAAAGAGATTAAGTATTCAGACCTCTCTACAAGTGAAAAATTCCTGCAATTTTCATCAGTATTTTTTCAATGAAAATCTCAACATTCAGTATTTTAATTTCCAAAATTAAAGTAACTTTTTAGAAATGCTTTACAGAAATAAACAAAGTAAAGGCACTTGGCTGACCAGTAACATGAATAGAAAGTATAGAGAAATTGTGCTCCTATGCTAAAGTTATACAGATTTTTGGGATGGGTTCAAGCGATAATTAAATATATTAACATAGAATTACGGTTTATGAATTTATCAGAGTCTGAAAAATTCATTATTAAAATTGTCGGTCGAACCTTAAATAACTTACATGATAACTGTAAAATATTAAATATTGGAGAAATACATGTAACTAAACAATTGCTTGGGAAATTCTATTCATTCATAAAATATTAGTGGATTTCCTTACAGTATGTTTGAAATTGTAATCAAATTTTCTTTAAGTTAAATGTGTTGCTGGTTTTGGATGAATTAACATGTGTTGTGGAAATCGGTATTGCTGTATCATGTAATGCTGTCATGGTTTATAAAGTACTAGTCCTGATAAATCAATCATTCATGCTCTTTTGCGTGATCAAGTAACTTTACAGATTGATTTTATCATGACTTTTACTTTCCATCTTGTTTAAGATGTCTGTGGGATTTAATTCATGTCGGAATAACAGCTTTTGTCTTATCATTACGTTCTAATGCTAACAACATTTGTGTTTTCATAGGAACAGCAAAAAAAAAAAACCCCAACAATAATTTGTTTTTGATATGACTCCATTGTTTCTTAACAGACAAGATGTCAGGACATCATGTCCCATCAAACTATGATTGACAGTGTCAGTGACAAAGGAACGGCCTTATCTTCAGCTCAGGTCAAGGGCAAACTGAAGGAGCTGTCCAACAGCTACAAGGCTCTGTGTCAGACCGCTCAGGCTCAGGTGAAGACCGCAGAACACCAGGTAGAGCAGCACCAGAGCTACGCAGACCACTACCAACAATGTAAAGACTGGATCACCATGGCCAAAGACAAACTCGCAGTTTGTAATGAAGTCAGTGGTGATAAACAAGCACTGCAGAATCGACTGGACAGAGTTCAGGTAGACATGCACTTGATGAACCTGTCTATACTGAAAGAATGCTTATAAAATATATTTTTCATCGAGTATTGTACCTTGATACTGTGGAAATTGAGCTACATGTAATTATAAAATTTACAGACATAGCAAAGTTGTATGTCAGGAAGTACCGTATTTGCAGAATTGTTAGCAAGGATTCATTTTGGCATTATTAGCAATGGTGCTAAGATCACTAAAATTAAATCTTGCTAACAATCAATTGCACATTATTTGTAATAGCTTCTTTAATGAGCATTATACAATCACTAAAATTACTTTTTGCTAAAAATATATACCAGTTTTTAAGGATAAATCGCTAAATTTGTGTCTAGCTAAAATTTCCACTTTATATACGGTATATAAATTGTCCAATGTTTGTTAAGATTTGGTAGCTATTTTATTGTGAGCTTACACATTTTATGTTTTGTAGGACCTTAATGCCTCTTTGAAAGACGGTGAAAAGAAAGTCAAAACAACAGCCAGCCAAGCAGAGAAAACTCTACAAGAGACAGCACATGCTGGACAAGAACAGATCAGAATAGACCTTGAGTGCCTAACTCAGGAGTTTGAAGGCCTTGTCTCTAAGTTGGGGGATGCACAGACATCTCTGACACATGCAATAGAAGCTTTACAAGCCTATGATAAATCTTGTGATGGCCTGAGCAAGTGGCTGAGAAACGTGGAACTTCAGATCAAAGAACAAGAGCTGAAGTCCACTTGTCAAGAAAAGGAAGGCCAAGTCAACAAATTCAAGGTAACGAAAAACTTGAAAGATTTTAAGAAATTCCATGAATTTTTATAAATACTTGTTTATTCTCTGTGGATGCCCTATATAAAAGAATTAATTGTACATCACAGCATTTGCAAGAAGAAGTACATGGCAAGCATGATGAATTTGAGGACCTTCACAAAATGGCATCACAAGTTCAAGGGGCTGACACCCGATTGGTCAGTTTATGTACTCAACTAAATACCCGGTATCAGACAGCTAAAACTTCTCTAAGGGTGAGTAAATTAGACAAAATCACTACATGTAAAGCAAGGGATTGATTGTTATGGCAGAACTTTAAAAAAAAGAAGTAATTGCAGTTATGAAGGAATTTTAACACCTCTGACTTTTGTAGGATTTGATCCACAAACTACAAGATAACGTCCATGCCCATGAAGCCTACAATGAGAACTTTTCTGAGTGCGCAGAATGGGTCAACACATTGGCAAGGCGTCTGCAAGTGTGTGCAGACATGGCAGGGGACAAACATGATGTGGAGGACAGACTGGCCAAACTACAGGTAAACAGATAGCGTCTGAGTCTTTGTCGACTCAAACTACAGTTAAACAGCTGACTTCTCAATAAATGTCAACAATTTGTAACTTTATCTCTATGTATTATATTTTTGTAGGAACTCATAATTGAAAAAGAACAAGGTTCTTCAAAAATACACTACACAATTGAAAGTGGTGAGAAACTGTATCCCACCACTGCTTCCGAGGGTCGGGACATTATACGACAAGAACTCAGGACCCTACGGGAGCAGTGGGAACAGGTGTGTGACCTCTTGTCAGACACTCAGCGAAAACTGGACTCCTGTCTGCTACAGTGGTCTTCTTATGATGAAAACTTCGAACAGTTCCAAAAATGGCTACTGGATACGGAAATACAACTCAAAGAGGATACTGACTTAAAAACGACACTGCCAGATAAAAAAGCTCAACTACAAAATCACAGGGTATTTACTTATGTTGATATACAGTGATCTCCATTTACAAGATCAAATGCCATGAAAGTTAGTGCTTGTAATTTAATGATTTTGAAACTCTTACTCATTTCTTATTCTTTTCATCAAAATACATGTAATTGTTGCATAAAAGTCGTTCCATTGAAAATGCCCTTATTGTAAACTTTGTATCATTTTACATGTAGGTTAAAATGTTTAAAACTTGATGGTGATTTAACAGATTTTACACCAAGATGTCATGTCGAGAAAGCACGTCCTGGATAATCTAGCTGACAAAGCAAAGAATTTGAGCCACTCCACTCCCACGGCCAGGATAAGTAAATTTGTGGATGATCTTCAAAGCAAATACAAAAAGCTGTGCAGTACATCACAACAGATGCTGGGGAAGTTTGAGGAGGGGGTGAAGGACCATCAGCAGTACCAGGATGTGTACCAGGACTTCCAGGATTGGCTGAACTCGGCGAGAGAGAAAGTGGAGACGTGTTCAGATACGTCAGGAGATAAGCTGTCTCTACAGAACAAGTTAGAGAGACTCAGGGTATGTACAGAGTTAATGGAATAATGACTCCCAGTAATTCAAGTTAAGAGCCCACTACCTGTCAGTTGAAGTAAACTAGAAGTATAATTATTATGAGGACTTCTATAGATATTCTCCAGACATCTTCCACTCCAACAAATTTCTTAGTTTCATTTTTGCATGCTTCTACATGCCAAACACTTGGCAGTTGCACGTGAAAGTTATTTTGATTGAACCTTAAAAACTATGTAAAGATAGACATTGATAATAAAGATTCATCACTGTATGGCTTAAGACCATTGTTTAGGTGTTCACATATAGCTTGTGATGTTTTGATATGTTGAATAAAAAGATAATTTTTTTCTTACTTCTCATGAATCGAAATATTGAAATTTTAGGAATGTCAAGAAAAAATACCTGATGGAGAGAAAAAGCTGAAGAAACTGAAGGAACTGGCCACAAAATCTGCCACCAACTCCTCCCAGAGTGGCCGTGAAGTGTTGAAGCGAGATTGCGAGCACTTAGAGTGCGACTGGGAGGATTACCTGGCCCGAATCTCACAAGCCGAGGAGGATATTACCACAGCCCTTCTCACATGGGGAGACTTTGAGACTAAGTTCGCAGCATGCTCTGCTTGGCTTAAGGATATGGAGGAACAAGTGAAAAACTATGAACTGAAAAACACATTAGAAGAAAAACAGGTCCAAATCGAAAAATTCAAGGTATTTTCTAATACATCTATATAGTAATTCTTATGTTTATGCCATTTGTTTGCTGGGAGTTTTTGGGATGGATGAATTTGTGTTTCTGTGGTACTTTTAATTGATTGAACATTTTGTTAAGATCCTTTGAAAAATCATTTCTGTTTTCTATTTTATTGCAGAAACAAAGAGAAGAAATTTTATCACATCAACCGGAGATTGACAGATTTACTGATGATGCTCAGAACCTGATGCACACAAGCTCAGATGCTCGATTGAGCACACAGGTGTCTCATCTGACGAACCGCTACAGAGGTCTGCTCTCCTTAATTAAGGTCAGTAATACATTCCAGGATAATGTATGACTGAGAATTTTATTGTGTGTTGCACTGATTCTTGATGCAATTGTTGTGTTTAATATTGAAGGACCTCATTGGGAAATGGGAAAAGTACGCCCAAGACCACCATGCCTTTGACAAGAGGCTAGAAGAATTTAATGCCTGGCTTTCTAATGCAGAAGTGAAGTTAGAATGTTGTCAGGAACCAGCTGCTGACCAAGAAACCATGGAGGAAAGACGAACCATGATTCAGGTAATTCTGTATATGGATCTAGAAATGCATGAATAGGAGGTCATGTTATGTTATTAAGCACTCACTAATTGTCAGTATTCTATATTTTTAGCTAATGATGTCTGAGAAGGAACATGGCCTTCAGAAGTTAAATGCTACCGTGGAGGCCGGGGAGAAGTTGTACACAGACACCGCAGCCAGTGGGCGGGAGAAGGTCAGGCAGAGCCTGAGACAGGCCAAGGAAGACTGGGACCAGCTCAACAGCAACCTCCACGACGCTCAGCGTAGGGTCGACTCATTCCTTATGCAGTGGTCGTCGTATGCGGACGGTCAGGATCAACTGCACAAGTGGATGATGGACACAGAGCACTCACTACAGTCTGACGTAGACCTCAAAAACACACTGCAGGAGAAACGCTTGCAGTTACAGAATTTCAGGGTAGGCAAGGGGTTTGAAAATGAAAGGGTGATTAAGTATTACAAAATCAAGTTATCTTGCTGAAGTTTCCGGAAGACTGCATTTGAGTTATGGTGGAGTTAGATTAATGTGTTTCAGGGCATAATGCAAATGTAAACAAAGTTATTGTTTCAATTTGTTGGCTTGTAAAGTTTAGTAAAATGTATAATTAATAGATAATATTTTCATTTTATTAACTGCAGCCTGTTGTTAGTATTACTATTCTGATTCTGGGTTTTTTTCATCTTTCAGTCTTTGCTACAAGACATAACCTCTCATCAGAGACTGGTGGATTCGGTTGTGGAGAAAGCTCAGGGTGTTTTACAAACCACAAACAACTCGGAGGTTGCTGCTTTCATCAGAGAGATCAACTCCAGATATGAACACATTACCACAACAGCAAAGGTATCAATTTTGAATTTGTGAAGAAACAGTATTGTTGTTGTTCTGAAAATGGAATAATCTGTTAATAGAAAGAAGTAGATTTATCAAGGATGGCTGTTCTGCTTGTAAAAATCTATTGAAAATTTCCAAAATAGAAAATCAGGGATTTGATAACATTTATGAATGTGAATTAAAAATATTTACAAATCATTTAAGCAAATAATTTCCTTCCTGTCAGATTGAAAGAAAGAAATGCAATCACTTTTCAAATAAAAATAGAAATTTATATAATTATATATCATTAAGAATTTATCATTTAGTTTGTATGTTTCATATCCCTATTTGAAGTCTAAGTGAGTTATCTGGTTTGAAGATACAATTAATGAGTAGGCATATCCCATGTTGGGAAGACTTTCTAGCGTAAATGGTAGCTGAGCTTGACAATATTTTTACATTGGGAAGATTAAAGGACGTATCTTGACTTTGGTTCAAATTTTTTCCTGTCCTGTAGGAGCATATCAAACAGTGTGACCAGAATGTACAGGACCATCAGCAATATCATGATGCCTCCCAGGCCATGGTGGATTGGCTAACCTTAATGAAGGACAGACTAAGCATGTGTGCTGACACCTCGGGTGACTGCCACACACTTCACAACAAACTGGACAGAGTCCAGGTAGATCATTAGTTAATTATTTGCAATAGTAGAATTGTGTTATTTGCTGTAGTGTGAAGAAATTGTTTTGATATATTTTTTTGTTTTTGTTTTAAGGAACTTCTTGCCTTGCTCCCAGAGGGATTGGCTAAAATGAAAACTGCTGAAAACTCAGGTACCCGGTCCAAGGACACTACTGCTCTGCAAGGACGGCAGAACATGCAACAGGAGATGGACATGTTGAAGTCCGACTGGGAAACGTACGCAAGTAATGTCCGCTCTCTGAAGGAGAATCTTGAGAGGGCCATAAGACAGTGGGGGAAATATGACGACCAGCACGAAAGGATCTCCTCCTGGATCAGAGACATGGAGAAAAAGGTCAAGGATTTCCCCCTGAGGTCAACGCTGGAGGAAAAACAACAACAATATAGCAGATATCAGGTAGATTGCATGGGATTGGTTTACATACCCACATAATCGACATTATGCATTCTGATATGTTTATTATATTGTAATGGCCTATGTATATGGTAATACAGGAACTAGCAGTTGAAATTCATGGATTCCAACACAACATGGACGCTTTTGAGCATTTGAAAGCTGTAAGAATTAGGTCTACTATTATATAGATGGTTTTGGTTCTTCACATGATCTTTTTATTTAGACTTGATCAGATGCACCAGCATGTGGAAGTAATTGGCTTATACTTATATCATTTGTGTTTCCAGATTCTATAGACATTTTGACTTTTAATGCTTCGACAGTAAATTTGGCTATATAATATGTACAAGATGTTGTGTGTGTGCTAGATCATACATGTAAAATTGGTATTTTTTTTTAATAAAGTTTGCACACTTCAGTTGTTGAATTCACTTGTGTTGCTACATGTACATATAGCATTGAAAAACAATTTGCTTTTGTTAATTAAGTGAAAAAAAATAGCAGCTTGAAATAATTTGACTTTGGATTGCACAATCCTATATTTTTTTCTTTCTCTCTGTGGTATCCAGCTGGACTCTTTCTACAGGAGCAGGAATCTTGATTCCTTCACCCTTTTTCTCCTGTCAGTTCCACATTACTTTCTGATAAGATTTTTTTATGTTTAATTAAATATTTCTGGAGTCAACAGATCTTTTTTATGATAACACATGATGATTTTAGAACTAACTGGATCTATATTCTGTTCCAAGTACAGCCTTTCTCCAGACATTGTGCAGTATTTTTTTCAGTTTGGCAGCATTTAACAGATTTGGCAATAGTTTTTAAAATCACTAGCTTTGAAATGTTAAAACCACAAAAGATTTTCCTTTCTATAAGCATTCTTGATCTGTTGAACTTTTGATGTGGCAATGTTCATGGATTTCAAATTTGATTTAAGATTTGCTATATTTGGTATTGGTCGTAAATAAGCATTTAAGTTTTGATAATATTGGTTTACAAAAGTTTAATAAACTTGCTGTTTCTGCTCTAGGATATGATGTCTGACATCAAGAGTCACCAACGAGATGTGGATAAATTCAGTGATGAAGCTCAAACTCTACAACAAATGACAGGGGAGTCGCGAGTAGCCACATCCATTTCTCAGCTTGTCTCTAGATACCAGACAATTCAACAGGCAGTAAAGGTATGTGATATATGGTATATCTTATAAAATCCAATCTTACATGAAATGAAGATGGAAAAAATTGTGAACTCCTAAGTCAAGTTGAAACTTATTAAACTAAAAATCAAGTTTTACTTCACTTGTGCATATGTCATAAATGCAGATATAAAAATTGGGGAAGAAAAACTAATACTGCCACAATTTATACAATGGTATCTTTTCTATCATAGGACATTCTGAAGAAATGCGACCAGAATGTTGCAGACCATCGCCATTATATAGACAAACAATCTGACTGTGCCCAGTGGTTAATTAGAGCCAAGGAGAAGTTTGGTGCCAATGCTGACACGACTGGAAGCAGGGCAGAGCTGGAAGATAAACTGGATAAAATTCAGGTAATAATGTGTAGCGGCATCTACAGAGAGACTGGATACCAGCTATGTATTATTCCCAAGTTGCGATTCATCAGTTTGAAATCCATCTTTGACTATTTGGTTTTACGACTGAGGAGACATTTGGCATAAATATACAATTAAATAAATGGTTCATGGCAAGAAATACATGTATTTGCAAGTAAAAGAAGGATGCAAAACTCGCAGAATTTCTCACATGCAAATTAAAGTTGGTTTACAGTATATCATCAGTGTTTGATTAATTGTTAACTATTTCATTAACAGGATCTTTTAATTAATACTTTTGTTTTTAAGGAATTGGTGGCAGAGAGAGACACAGGATTTGGAAAGTTAAGTTCAGCTGTCGAGGCAGGAGAAAAACTGTATCCAAACACAGCGGCGGACGGTCGAGAGGTGATCAGACAAGAACTAAGAGCTCTGAAACTCGGGTGGGAGAGTTTGTTCGATGACCTCTCTGTGGCTCAGAGGAAGATGGAGGTGGCTCTGGTACAGTGGACTTCCTTTGATGACTCGTACGGACAGGTAGAACACTGGCTACGGGACATGGAATCTCAACTGGAAGGACATACACCTCTTAGATCAACACTGGAGGAGAAGAAATCTCAACTGCAGAGCTACAAGGTAAAGTCAAGTTATAGTCAGCTTATATGCTTGTTTTCTTGGTTTTTGTTGGTTTTATCAAAGTATTGGAAAGAATTATGTGATTAAAGTGGATGTCAAGGCAAGAAAATTTGTTTCAGAAGGAACATTATCATACAGTTTTGTAGGTTACATTGATGATTTTTTAGATATTCACAAGATTAAGAAGGCTACAGTTTGAAAAGGTCACACAAAGCCTCAATACTCTGTTAATTGTTAAAATAATGGACTCATATTTGGTGTTTCACTATCAACTTGTACATTTAATTTCAATCATTTGTCATTAAGAGAATGATAACTGGTGAGAGTTATGGCCCTTGGGTCCCTTATTCATTATTGTTGTTACAAGTTTAATGAGTTTAAAATGAAAATATTTTGATCTGGAGCAGGTGTTGCATCAAGATGTGTTGTCCTACCAACGAGTGATAGACAGTGTCAGTGATAAAGCACAGTCGCTGGTTCACAGTAGCAGTGATCCACAACTATCTAAATTTGTCACTCAAGCACGAGCCAGATACCAGAAACTCTGTACTGCTGCTAAGGTATATGTTTATTCAATAATCTTTATGGCAAGTTAAATTTAAGATAGATTTAAAATACAATATTTCAAGAGAGTTTGTTAACAGGAAAGAAAATTATATCTGAGGAATAAAAGATATTCCAAGAGAGTTTGTTATTAGGGAAAAAAGTTAAGTTTGCCAGGCAGGAATGACTGTGGTTTCAAGTTGTACTTTTGAATCATTTACTTCTTTTCAGACACTTTTGAAAAAAAATTCCCCACAAAAAAAGGGTGTATAAAAGTATAAAACTTAGAAATTTTCAACCCTCAGAAATTTTATGCCTCAGTTTACATTAGTTGTTTGATGATAAACATTTAGTGTGACTAGATCTGTAACAGTGTGTTGGACTACTTTTTCAGGAACACGTTCATGACTACGAGCAGTATGTAGCTGACCACCAACAATATAACGATGCTTACAACAACTGTATAGAATGGCTTAACAACATTCGGGAGAAGCTCTCTGTGTGTGCGGATGTAGCTGGGGATAGACACACCATTCAGAGTCGACTGGATAAAATACAGGTAGTTCACGTATCTATTTATTAAATTTTTAATTTGTTGAAAAAAGTAATTGTGTGTTACAAGTGCTTACTTTTTTCAAATACATGTATATAATTATGCATAGAATATGCTTTCTGTGTAATGGAATGGGACTTTAGCCTTCATGATAGATGAATGGAATTTTGACCTTCTCATTTACGTAATGTTGAAATGTTCCCACACTTGGATAATTATTCATTATTCATATATTCATTTTTATGTGTGTATCAAATTTTTTTTGCACAATATTGAAGTCGTAAAATTGCAAAAACCTCTTTAATTGAGAGGCTTTAAAATCTTTGAATTGGGTAATTAAAATAAAGTCTTTTCCCTTTCTGGCTACTTGAAAAAATTGTTTTACTTTTAAAATAGAATCTTTGTCTATTTGTACTTTTCTGAGATCTATAACAAGTACATGTACGAGCAAACCAATAGAGCCACACTCACAGTCTGTGAGGAGATTGTTGACTTGAGTTGTCTGTACTTATATAGCGTTCTGTAGTGAACAAGAATACTTATTGTAAAACCATGAAAATCTTGTTGAGTGAGATGCACAGTATCAGAATGTTCGAAGAAAAATTTCTAAAAAGTTCAATTTAAGATCTTGCTCAATCTTTTACACTTCCAGTAACATATCAATTGTAGACTCTGCAAACCCTGATAATTGTTGTGTTCATTACACGAAGTAAATACATCAGCTGTCTAAGAGTAAATCATTTTAATATGGCTCACTTTCAGACCTATTACACTGGATTGTTAAAAAGTGTAAGCAAAAAGAGTGTGTCGTGTGTCATGTACAAAACATATATACACATAAGTTGGTCATTAACAGGAGTCCTGTACTAATTTAACTGAGAAATTGGAAGTAACCTATACTTTAGATTAAGATTATATTGGGGGGGGGGGGGGGTTATAACTAATGAAAATGGTCGCATGACAGTTCTGTGTGCTTGAATTGCTAACATGTGTCGATCACTAACTGTTTATTTTGTTTTTGCTTAATGATCAGCGACGTTGTGTAAGTTCTTGAATGTTTGATGCTTCACTCGATCACTTTACACTTTGACTGCAGAAATAGAAAACAACTTGCTTGTGAATGACAATGTAGCAGATACTATAGATACAAAATGACACGTAGACATTTTTTTCCTGCATGACATTAAAGCTTGTCTCATGTTGCTATTTAACACTATATGCATGATAATTTAAGGAAATATTTATCCCCACCCCTTACCCCAAAAGGATTCATTTTACCATACTTCCTAAATTTATTACATATATGGATAGAGTTTGATGTTGAGTTGATTTGTATTGTAGCCATCACTTTTGTGTTTAAAAAAAAAAGCAACCATGTTTCCTTTATTTTTTATTAGAATTCAGCACTCTCTAAAATATCAGAAGTGAGTAAAGTGTACATTTTTTGTTTAAAATAAAGGTATTATACAATAAAAAGAAGTTAAGATTTATGCTACCTTAAAGGTTGAAGTAGAGACAAGCTAGTGGTTAAGGCTATACATTTAGTTGTCTTTATAAAATGATGTGTGTATTGGTAACTTCGTAGAGAAAATTGCAGCTCATGTGTAGTTTTAGACTTAGTTTTAATCTTAACATATTTGTTGGGCAGATGTGGAATTTTACATGTAATGTGTTCTTTTTCATCTTTCTTTGTGTCAAGTTTTTATCAAGATATATAGTCATTAATTACCATATTTATTTGCCCTTGGATATGACCCCCCAGAAGCCTATGGTATTAGACACATCATCGTCTTTGGAAGCCAAATAGGATTTTCAAATCACTATGTTCTCCATTTTGTGGGGAAACGTAGGGATAAAAAATCCTTCCCTTGCAAAGATGACACAAGATCTAATAATAAGAACAATCCTGTTTTGAGCGTGGTATAATATTTTCAAGTTTATAAAAGTAGATAAGCACAATTTTTTTTCATTTGGCTTGGTCATAGAAATCAAAATGTTTATTCATTCTTCTGAAATCTTGAATGGACATTCACTGTCAACAAAATGGCAGATTTAAGAAGAAGATTCAATTTATTCTTATTAGACACATTAATTGCAATTTAGTCATTCATCATTTAGCTATATTGCACAATACAAGATTTTGTCTCATCTGTAGGAAACTTTGCTGTCATTTTTATTGCAGCATCTCCTGATCTGTTTAGTGTCTGCAATAGACATTTTCCCATGGTGTTTTTGACAGTGTTTCTACTTTATGTAGCCATTTAAGCACCTTATGCATTGTCGATTTTGTGCTGAATTTGTGATCATCACAAAAAATTGAATTCTTATATAGATATGAATGTTTTACACATACTTGGCTAATTAGTGATAGCACTCATTAGTCTATGATTACAAGTTTACAACTGTCAAAATTTTTTTGCATGGGCCAGAATAAGTACAATTATAGTGATATACCCTGTTAGCATATTGACAATGTCTGTGCTAGTTGTCTGAAAAAAAAAATTTGTAGTGTTTTTTCACTAGATGTTTTATTATGTGTTTTTTGCTTACTGGAATTAAAATTTTTGTTCAATCTTATAAAAATTTTGCACAGTGCATTGAAAACTTACTGAATTGACTTACTTAATCATATATCATAATGAAAACATTTCTTCAACTTTTTACTGCCTCTTGATGTCAAAGTAGTGTTTATTTTAAAACCTATACTATTTATTTTAGGATATTGTTGCAACCAAAATGGAAGGTGAACCCAAAGTGAGGAATGTTCTAGAATTGGCAGAAAAAGTCCTTCCAAACACTGCACCCCAAGGCAAAGACATTGTCATGAGGGAGACAGATGCACTGCATCAGGATTGGGAAGCTTTTGTTAATGCCCTTCAAAAGGTATAGGATTTTACTAGTGACCTCCAAAGAGTGGTTTTGAACAGTACTTTGTATATACAGTAAAACTTGCACATGAGTACAGGGGGCATGAATTTTTTTAGTTACCTATAATTGAATTTATATCCGTACAAGGAATGGGTAAAAGATAGAACTGTATAACTGAGATTTATTTATATCGGAGTTCTGTATAAGCAAGTTTTACTGTAGTAGAGTTAATGAGGATGATATTGGTAGTTGATTAAATATTTTCTGTTTTTATAGACAAAGAATGATCTGGAGAACTGCATGGGTCAGTGGAAAGAGTTTGAGAGCTGGCAAGACAAGGTGTCAGCCTGGTTAAAGGACCTTGAGGCTCGTGTGAGAGACACAGAACTAAAAGCCACATTGAGGGAAAAGCAGTCACAACTGGACAAACTGAAGTACCTCCACAGAGACCTCATAGATCACCAGGGTGACATAGATAGCCTAAGTGACATAGCTCAGGATCTTGTCCGTGTCAGCACAGACACACGTGTCATCAGTCAGGCCTCACAGCTGGGCACCAAGTATCAGGCTATTTATACTAATGTCAAGGTTAGTGTCCACCCCCACCCCCCAAATATCAGGTTATCAGGTTATTTTATACCAATGTCTAAGTTATTGCCCCCCTCCCCCTTTCAAGTATCAGGCTGTTTATACCAATGTCAAGTTAAGCCCCCCCCCCCCCCCCCCCCCCCCCCCCCCCGCAAGTATCAGGCTATTTATACCAATGTCATGGTTAGTGTCTCCCTTTCCCAAGTATCAGGCTATTTACACCTAAGTCAAGATAAGTGTCCTTTCCCCCAAGTATCAGGCTATGTACACCAATGCCTATGTTAGTCCCCCCCAATGCCAAGTTAAGTGTGCCCCTATTTCATACCAGTGTTATATTTTTATACCAATGTTAAGGTTAGCACCCAATGATATGTCCTTTCTTTGTGCTACTATAATATTATTTTATTCAGAAATATTTGATAAAAAAAAATAATTTTGTGTATGATTTCAGGAGTTGTGCAGAAGATGGGAGCAGTATGTGCTTGATCACCAAGCGTACAACTCTTCATTTGATCAGTGCAAGAACTGGCTGAGTGAAATGAGAAAGAAGCTCCACCATCTCTCTGATACCAGTGGGGATAGGAGAGTGATACAGGACAGACTTGAGCTGGTCCAGGTATGGGGTTATATTGCATCCTCTATCTATTTTACAATCATTAATTGAATTTGTGGGAGGGATATTAAATGTAAATTAGTGAAATTCTCATGGATGATCAAGTTGTTGGGTGTAACCTTTTTATTCACCTTATGCATATTTTGAAAAAGGTATAAAGGTTTTTAAAAAAGCATAAAATATTGAAAACTTTGCTAAGCATTCTAAAAGATAAATTTAAAAGTTGTGTCATAATGTTTGGAGATAACTTGCATAAAGATATTTAACTACCAAAAAAAATCATTCATTGAATTTATGCACCTCACTAAGATTTAGGTTTTACCTTAGTAAAGAAAAAATTGTTCATTCTTGAATTTTGCCATAAATAGATAACCAAAATGGCTTTAAAGGTAAGTTTATATGGTTAGTGAATTATGTATGAGAACATATTCAATTTGGCAATGGTTTACAGATAGCCTGAATAAGGGAATATTTTGGGAACAAATGGGAGCATCTTGCATATTCATATTTTAGTGGCATGCAATCTTAGCTTCTATAACTCTGAAAATGACCTTTCACCCAAGTTTGATTTGGTTTGATTCCCATATCAATTTAAGCATTTATGCTTTTCTTACTTTCTTATTAATATATGTGCCACATAATTTCTATCGAGTATGCCATGAAAATATCACATTTGATCATTAGTATGAGCAAAACCAATCTCTTTAGTACCCAGTAAATAGTTTATATGGTGTACGTTCATTGTATATACAGTGCAATTCTCTTATTATAATAGTTTACTTGTCCCAAAATATTGTGATACAAAGCAAACTATAGCAATAGCCTTTACTGAGATAAGATACTACAAACATACAGATACACCTACATACACCAAACCCCAAAAAATCTTCTCTTTAGCACTGAAGAGGCTTGCAGTGAGAATAAACAATCAGTATTTCAAAGTCGCTTGTAAGAATTAAAATTGTTGTATCAGTTATTCAAGTAATTGCAATGGAGCATTATGAGGACTCTCAATTTTCAAAGTGGAAATCAAGCCATTGTATATGTATGTAGAAATGCAATGGTTATGGGTCTAACATAAGCTGATGGTGTGAAGTTTTGTTTTTTAAGTTTTGTCCCAAGGGTGAAAAGGTAGTACTTATACCTTTTATAGTAACCGTTCGGTTGCGATTTAAAATGAATTTAAAAAAAATGTATTTTGTGTTTCAAATGTCTATGATAATAACCAGCCTTGTATATTAAACTGATATGATAATAAGCAAATTGCACTGTATATATACTTTTTAATGTGAAAGAATTTGTGGTACAGTAATGAAAAATTTAGAAAACTATTAGTTTTGAACAAGTTTTGATTAATTCCTCAGATTAGATATTTAAAACCAGTTAACTTGAAATAAGCCACTGGAATTTATTTCTCACAATGCCTAATTCAAATTAAATAAAAGTATTATATTTGATGAGTTTGTCCATACAAAACAAAATATAAGTGGAAAATATTTCTGTATTTCTCTTTTTTGTAATTTGGTGGTCATATTGGGGTAGAATATACATGTATAATAATTTCGAAATAAATATATTCTTAATTGGATTCTGTCCTGAAGAAGGTTGAACCATTTCATGATTAAAATCTAAATATTAACAGGAACTTGTGTCTGATAAAGAAGAAGGATTACACATGCTCCAAATCTCTCTGGACAACCTTCAGATTGTATTACCAAACACGTCAGTAGCGGGTCGGGACACAATGCGGCGCGAGATGCAGGTCTTGCAGTCGGAATATGACAGTCTGTCTGCAGACATTAATGATCTGAAGAGTAAATTGGACAGCACCCTCACTCAGTGGACTGTCTATGATGACAGCATCGAGCAGCTGAGTCGCTGGCTGAGGGATCTCGAGGATCAGCTAGAGGCAGAAAACCAGCTACAGAACACATTACAAGAGAAGAAGTTACAGCTAGAGAGGGTCAAGGTATGTCAGACCTGGGTCATTTGTTCATATGCTTATACTCCAGAGAGGGTCAAGGTTATTCATGTAAATCCATGTAACTCCGACCCCTGTTATTCGTTCATATGCTTACTAAGCTAGAGAGTCCAACTCAGTTGTTTTTCACCTGCTTACTTGATATTAAGTGTTTTGTCTTTTGTTGGTTGAATGTAACTTTTATTCATTGGTTGCCAAGTTTTCTCAGACAGACGAAGTGTTGTTGATGAGATTGTGTAGTTCCATGTCTTATTATGTATTAATATTGATAGTATATAATATTTGATACAGGTGCAGCAGTTGAATATAGCCAGTCAGCAGAGCACCATAGATAACCTCAACGACAAGGCAGAAAACCTGAAGGCTACCAGCAAAGACCTCAACCTAGGCAATCAAATCAAACAGCTTGTCTTTAGATATGAAAAACTTCTAGACAATGTCAAGGTAACTGCCAATTTATTCTCTAGTTAAACTGTAGCAAGTTGAAAAGATATACAGCACAAAATTTAACTGATGTAGTAAATAATCTCAATACTTTCTCCAAGTAATATGTAATTTTCCTCTATTTTTACAGAAATTAATGAGCAGATGTGAGAAGAATGTCAAAGATCATCAAGTTTACCGTGACACATTCATGGATTCTAGTGACTGGCTGAGCTCCATGGTGGATCGTCTCAATGTTTGTAGTGATGTTAGAGGAGATCGAACTGTGGTCGAAGCTCAACTCCATAAACTACAGGTATATCTTTGCAGAATGGACAAATGTTAATGTTTGCAGAGTTATTGAATGTGTCGGTTTTTAGAAAAGGTGCATTTCCAAGTAGCAAATAGGAAGCAAGAATTTCAGTTTAGAGGGGTGGGGGTACAACTGAACAGAAATTCCATGACAAGCAAAATTTTCATGCATTACTGCAGAGGCACAATCGTAAATAAGCTTTGTTTTCTATTAGATTATATATATATATTGGCAAAATTATTGAAGAGAGGGATGTTGAGGGGCATGGCATGTTTGGTGAATGGACTTTATATTTCACATCCAAAAAGTTTGTGACAATAGTTCAAGGATATTTTTGGAGTCAGCCACTTTGTAGAATGGAAATTTCATATCATGTATTCTAATTTCAGGATGTATTTGCAAATATGGACTCTGGTAAGGAAAAACTAGAACAAACTTTGGCAAAAAGTGACTTGGTTTTACCAGAAACTTCTCAACAAGGCCAGGATCTGATACGAGAAGAGCTCAGTATGCTTACTACAGAATTTGATGGATTTACACAGGACTGTGATGATCTACAAGACACCTTAGGTATTGCTTTCTTACATATACAGTCATTTCTGTATAAGTTAATTATTTCTCTAATTCTTAATTAATCAGGAGTTTTTAGCTCACCTGAGCCACATTCTTATAACATTTGTTGATTACAGAGAAGTTACTGGCCGAGTGGCTGAGATATGAGGATGAGTACGAGGAACTCATTCAGTGGATGAAGAACACAGAAAGCAGAATGAAGGCTGAGTCTGAGCTTAAAGCCTCACTGGAGGAGAAGAATATTCAGTTTGGGAAGCAGAATGTAAGGAAATTTCAAATATCTTTTTCTGTACACTTTTGAGGTCAATGAAATTTTTATTGCAAAAGCCAATTTGTGTTACTTTGTTGTTGATCTCTATATCTTTGCTGTTATTCTCTATTACTTTGTTGTTGATTTCTGCTAATTTTTATTGGTCTCTATTACTTTGTTGTTGATCTCTATTACTTTGTTGTTGATCTCTTTATCTTTGCTGTTGATTTCTTTTACCTTGTTATCTTTTACTTTGTTGTTGATCTCTATTACTTTATTACAGGCTGTACAAGAGGAGATCCTCAGTAAACAGGAAGCCTTTGATTCTCTGGCTGAGCGCGCTCAGACTCTCTTACAGTCCACCACAGACAATCGAGTCACCTCACAGCTTACACAACTCAGCTCCAGATATACCAGTTTAATTGCCTCTTCCAAGGTTTGAATAATTTTGATATGTAATGTTCTTCATTTTATTTTTGTTTACCTGTGCATGAGGCTTACAGAAAATTTTGTCAAATTTAGTCCTAAGTGACTCAGGTGATCTAACTCTATTGGGCTTCATTCTTTATTATGCATAAACTTTCAAATTTGTCTAAATTATTGCACTTTGGACCAAGTGAGCATGCATTTTGGCACTCGAATTTTACAAACAAGTACATGTAGGTAATGGGAAAAAGAAATCATTAATGGGGCTTAAATAAAAATTGCAATCAAGTAATAATTAAGGTAGATTAGCCTTTTGCTTTAATTATTTTATTAACATAGAATTAAAAACAAAAAGGGAATAGGCCTCTCAAAAAGATTTGGTTTCAAGAAAAGTTGGATGTTTGAAAGCAAACATTTTTCCTCTTAATTCAGGACTTGCTAAAACGTTATGAACAGCATGCGATGGATCATCAGCAGTATGCAGAAGCATACAGTGATGCTGCCCGGTGGCTGCAGACTAACAAGGACCGTCTGTCTGTCTGTGCTGATACTACTGGTGACAGATACAAAATCCAGGCACAGTTAGAAAAGCTACAGGTATAATTTTATAGGATTTCTTCATTTAGATTTTTAAAATAAAATATGTTCTAGAATACTCTGCAATATCAGAAGGATAAACAAGATTTTTAAAATATTTCTGATTTAGTTTCTGATCAGAATTTGCAATGGATAATAATTCCAGAAAATGATAATCATTCCTTCAATTGATAAAAAAAAATCCAGAAAATGGAATCAGAATTTGTTGGAAAAAAGTTTATACTGCATCCTCAAATTACATTTTAAGGTTACCTAAAAGTTAGCTTGAATTGTCAATTAGATGCTGACTCTATATCTTGTTGAAAACTTTAAATAATATTAATAACCTTTCCTAGGAATTTGTTGTGGTCAAAGAAGAAGGGCAGCTCCAAATCCATACAGCAAACACCTGGGGCGAGAAGACCATGAACAACACATCAATGGAGGGTCGTGAAATGATCCGTAAAGAGCTGCAACAACTCCAGCAGGAGTGGGATAGCATGATCTCAGAAGTCATGGACACCAAGGTCATGTTAGAATCCTGTCTGCTCCAGTGGTCCGACTACAGCGACAGCTACGAGAAGATCCAGAAATGGCTGAGAGACATGGAGAAAAGGCTGAGGGAAACTGAACCCAAAGCTGATCTAGGAGAGAAAAAGTCAGAACTTCAGAGACTTAAGGTTATTTGACTTTTATAACTGATGTCTGTAGGTTCATTCTACCAGAACCCCTTCTTTGAACCATGAAGTTCATAGGTTATAATGGCTGACTGGGGTGAGCCTTTGATTAAACCATGAACAGTTCATGCAAAAATGATTTAAGAAGCATTGAAGCATGTAAATCAATATCTTTTTTCATGGAAGAGAAACCTTACTTTTGAGAATTTTCAGTTTTGTCTGATGGCAGCGTAAATTTTATCAATCAGATGCATCCAATGTGTTGTTGTTTATGAGAATGAGTTTTACAGGGAATCTACCAAGATGTTGTGTCTTACGAGCCCATGATAGAGTCAGGAAGAGCTAAGGCAGAAGACCTGGCCTCCAAGAATCCCATCAGCAAAGCTACCACTGACACATCACAGATTCTGACAAAATACCAGGCCATCAAGGATCAAGCCATGGTCAGTGTTATTTGAAAACTCTAAGAGACTTTGTAAGCAATTTTATTTTTTGGAATTTCACCTCACAAATTTCCTCTTGTATTGTAGGATATGTTGTCAAAATCAGAACGCTGTGTTGCCCAGCATCAGGCTTACCATGACTCTTGTAACAGCTTTGTTCATTGGCTGAGAGCTGCACGTGAAAAATTGGCAACATGTTCAGACACATTTGGAGAGAAATCAACTATAATGACAAAAATTGAGCGAGCAAAGGTATTTTAACTAGTCCTGTTCCTTAATTCATTTTGTACAATCATTTATCAGAATAATATCTAACATTGACTATCAGTTAAATTAATCTGAGCCTTATCTGTCAAACGCTGTAATTTATAGATGTCCAGACGGTCAAAGGTGAGGGTTGTTTTGTTTGAGTTTTGTCCATTTTTAGTTCACAAGACAGAGACTCCAGTTATAGTTACAAAGTTGTCGTAGGCATAAGGCTGGTCGTCTTTTTCTATAAAATTTCATGGTTTTTGTTCACTTACCTGAAACCCTCTAAACTTTCCATCAACTCTAACACAAACTGCCTTAGAAGGAAGAAATGGTCAAACTGATTACGACCATGTCCGGCATCCTTCTTGGGCAGCACACATCTTACCCTGTGCAACACACTGGTGTAGATTTGCCATCAATAGGACCAACATGTTATAGAAAAATTATTTTGTGTGTGTGTGTCTGTAATCCAGTAAATACGTGATAAATAGAAAGTCCAGTGAGTGTTTTGGTCCCCGTGTCATGTAATTTCCCCCTAAAATGCGTGATCTGAACCTACATTCTCACATGATTGAACAGCACATAATAACAGTCACTGAAGCTGCAACAGCACACTTAATATAATAACAAACACTGAAGCTGCTTGCAGCAGATGCTGTGAAGATTCATTCAGCTGATTTTCTGTTATACCCACATCAAATTTTATTTACTCATTGGCTTTAGATGTTTTGCTTGATAGTCATCAAACTTCATAAGAGAAGCTGACTTTGAGAAATGAATAAGCCAAAGCTAACAATATAGTAAGGGGGGCATGAATGTTTCACAATGATACCACATTTTTATATTTGATTCACAGACTCTTGAAGCAGATATGGGAGAGGGCACCCAGAGACTGAATGATGCAACAAAAGCAGGGGAGAATACTCTGTCTACCACTTCCCCCTCCGGCCAGACAAAGATCCGCATGGAATTGGGCGTCATGAAGAGGGATTTTGAAGAGTATCGTGCCATGCTCACAGAGGCTCAAGAGGATCTGGACAGGTGTCTCACTCGTTGGAACGAGTTTGAGGACAGTTATAATCAGTTCAATAGCTGGCTCAAGGAGACTGAGACCTTCCTTAGATCTGATCTGGATCTGAAGAATAACTTAGAGGAGAAGAAAAAGCACTGGGAACAGTATCAAGTTAGTATTACAAAGTAGTGGAAATGTTTTGTTGTAGATGATGCTGAATTCTTTTTTTTTTAGTCATAGGCTATGATAATGGGCATTTCTCTTTTATCAGTAAAATCAGTTTGATTCAGGTGAGCTTTATAGTGCATAGGCCTGCAGTATTCATTGTAATGTAGCACTTGATAACTAAAAATGGACTATTTTGATTACAGAATTATATGGAGGAGGTTCTCTCTCATCAGAGTTCATTGGATCGAGTCAATGAGAGAGCCCAAGCTCTACTGCAAACCAATGCTGATGCTAAAACATCTCACGCTATTACCCAATTAACAACCAGATACCACAGTGTTATTAGCATGTCAAAGGTTTGAATTGTTTGATTTTAATTGCTTAAGACTTAGCTGCAATAATGTAGCCCTCTCCGATTTTTTTTTTTTTTTTGGGAGAGGGCTACAACTCCTTAGGATCTCCGTAATGGTGCAAGTGCGGGAGTGATTCACTACCGCACAGATTTCGACTCAAATTATCAGTAAGTGGGTATTTTGTTAACATATCTTACCTGAACTCATAAAATGTAGTTATGCAGGACATGAATTGATCCAAAAATACACAGAACAATCCGTATATCGGTTATTTTTCGTGTATGTCAACATCACAACTTGAATTTATCCGCCATTTTTACTGACCTTGATCGATTTTATTTTGGGACAACCAATGAGAATTCGGGATCTAGGGGCGCGGATCTGTTTAGGATTTCCCTTATTTTAAGCATAAATATCACTGTTTATGAAAAAATATCACATGGAATGCTTTTATTTATCGATGTTTAGTGATATCATACAACACAAACATTTGTCAACACCGACATTTACTTTATCAAGTGGTTCTAAATTTCAAGCGCAAGTCTCAGTACGTCACGCGAGAACTGTCATGGCTGCTGAGGAGAACGACTGGTAAAGACACAGATTTATTTTACTTGGTTTTCGCGTATAAAGGGCTATAATGTTGATATTGAATAAAAATTCCGTCTTATTGGAAGTAAGTTGAATGCAAAAACAATTTATTTTGCCTACAGTCGTCCGTATCTAAAACATATATTTGCACCATTATGGGGATGCAGTGGAATTGTAGCCCTCTCCTGAAAATAACAGATTAAAAAAATCGGAGAGGGCTACATTATTGCAGCTACTTGAGACTCAATTAAAACTTTCATACCCCTGGAAACAAAATATGGGGGAAAATTGGGGGAAGGGGTTTCAGGACATAGTCAATTCCTTTGAAGGATCACATTGCAAAAACCAAACTGCTTAAATTATCCGTTATACTTTACAATGTCTGTTATAGGATTGTTAACAAATTGAATTCTTTATCTTTTAAGGACATTGTGAAAAATTTGGAGATTTTCTATGAAAATCATTTGAACTACAACCAGAACTACACAGACTTCCAGGCATGGCTAACTGAAACAAAACAGGCATTGAAAAATGTGCATGACCTCTCTGGAACCAAAGACGATGTTGGAGGAAAACTGGGCAAAATTATGGTCAGTGGTATCATTTGATAATGATAAAGATAAAAATTGTCTTGGAGCTATGAATGGATATATATTGTACTATTTATAGTACTGATAGATCTGTTTTTAAAAAAAAGCATTTCTCTATGGTGTTTTAGGATCTTCAAGCAGCTTTGGACCAAGGCCACGGCCATCTTCGAAGTCTGCTTGAGAGTTCAGAGAGAACTTTACCCAACACTAGTCAGCGAGGGTGTCAGATAATTCGGCAAGAAACAGAGACTGCAAAGTCTGAGTATGAAAACTTACTGACTGATGTGTCGCAGGGCAAACGGAATCTCGAATCTGCACTCTCTCAGTGGGGAGACTTTGATCGTTCTCATGAACAGTTCTTATCATGGATATCTGAAGTGGAAAAGAAATTAAAGCTGGATCCTGAGCTACGAGTCGACTTGCCAGAGAAAAGATCCAGCCTGGAAAAATATAGAGTAAGTTTGTGGTTTGATCAAAATATATCCATACTGTGAAACCTCTACTGATTTTGTGGTATGGAAAAGGCAATACAAATTCATGTCCTCCACAGAATGTTAAAATTATAAACTACTATATCATTAGTAACTCTACACTCTTTCAACTATGAATTCCCACTAACCAAATTTTTTTTCACTCAAACTATGAAAATTTGACATTGCAAAAATAAGTGATTATACAGTATTTTCATCATCTGTTATTCTATATTTTCTGTAAACCTTTAAAGTGGTCTATTAATTTTAAAAATGCAGTGTACATGTATACATGAATGTATGAAAATTGTACTGTACAAGTGCCTTTGAGTTAACAGTAAAATAAATAGTATGAAGAAATTAACCGTGTAAATTAAATTGTAGGCTATTCAAAGTGATATTTTGGGTCATCAAGACACTTTGGACAAGTTAGAGGACAAGGCTGATCAACTGAAAGATCCAAGACCTCGCAGCTTAGTAGCAGATCTGAAGTCTCGTTACACAAGACTAGGAGCTCAAGCCAGAGAGATGGTGGAGCGCTTTGATGAACAAGTTCAGGGACACGAAGAGTACAGACGGGCCTACATAGCTTGCCTGGACTGGCTAGCTAATAATAGACACAGATTACAAAGACTTAGTGATTACTCTGGAGATAAGAAGATCTTGCAGGATAGATTACAGCAACTCAAGGTTACACATAATTATGAATTCATCATCTTTAATTAGCTTAATTTATTGGTTATATGCTTAAACATCCTTTAAATGTACAACTGTTACAAAAATGCTCAGACCTCGCTTTCCCTTTCTCCTGAATGAAAAAAAAAATACATTCCCATATCAATAGATAAAAATGACAAATTAGTGAATTCCACTCCAGATTATTTTTGAATAATTCCACGAGCAAAGAAAAAAAAATGGGTATTAATTTCCAGTATGAATTATACATTCAGAAAGAATGACTGAATTTTATAACCACTGGCAATAATTAATAAATTATTAGTATATTTAAACATTGTTTTACAAAATTTGTTATGTAGGACTTCAAAGGAGAAATGAGGCAAGGACAAGATATGGTGAATAATGCCACTCAGCAAGGTGAGAGGGTCATGACCTCTACGGCCCCTCGAGGTCAGGAGGCCATCATGAAGGAGATCCAGAACCTCAAAGAGGACTGGAACACATTCGCCTCCTCTGTTAATGAAATGGAGGCCAATCTGGAATCCTGCATTGGGAACTGGGATGATCTAGATGAAGAATACCAAAGATTTCTACAATGGATTGACAAAATGGAGGGACGCATTAAGGGACTCATGGAAAACAAACCTGATGAACAGCGCAAACAGCAACAGTTACTGGAAGGAGAAGTAAGATTATTGTCTGATATATTGTCTGCCAAAATCAGTCATCACTGTTAGGGTACATGTAATATTAACTACCTATTGACTTCAATATCTTTGATCTTGGACTGTTAATTTAAGACAAACAGTTCTTATTTAATAACCATAACTCACAGAATCTATACTACTATATTAAAATAATAGACTCGAATTTTTGGCCTTTAATACCGATAAATCGGAAGAGTACTGTCGTTTGTTTTATATATTTTAAACATCATTGGTACTTGAAGATTACCAATTTGTTTTTATTTTTTCTCAATTAAGCTTCGCTAATTAATAATCAACGAAAATTCCTCAAAAAATTCCGGAAATCATCTGGATTTTTTGGATTTTACAATCTTGCGCGTGCGTATTACATTCACGCTAAATCACGGTGTTCAAATCAGAGAAGACAAAAGTAATTTGAACTAAGTAGATATATATTTGTTATTTTATAATTTTCTCTAATAAGAAATCATAAATATATATGAACAAAATATATAGCAGATTTCCAATGAAAATTTACACGTATTTGTATTAATGTTTCTGAGTTTATCCATGCAAATGTGATATTGTGGCCACTTGGGTAATCATTCGCCATTTCGGAGATGCATTTATTATAAGTTATTTACGTCTCTGGTCATCTCAACGGAGGCAAAAAGCTCATGATCGTAGGAGCAATATTAATGTAGCTACCCGATTTTATTTTATCCTTCCTTTCTTTTATGCTTTTTTGAGGGGAAAGGGGGATGTTACAACTCCAGCTAGAATCACATCTTAATGAAGTATGCATTCTTTTTCCGCCAGAAATTACAATAACATTATTTTCATTTCTTAACTTTGAAATAAATCGAAATAATCAAATAACGTCAATATAACCGATATTTTCAATTTGAAATGTGTCTAAATGATTGCAACTTGAATTTGTTCGCCATGTTTACTATTACCTTCACTGCTGAGATTTATAACTTCACCTCCAAAAATTTCTTTAACTTTGAAAAAAAAGTGGGTGAAATATGTATATAGAAGGGACAGCCTGTTCTTCTAAATATGTAAAGGTTGTCATGGTAACTACGCTTGATAGGTAGTCTGAAGTCAGCCCTTGCGGCCCGTACAGTTCATTCTATCAATGCTACTAAAATATCGATTGTTTGTAAAATTTAATCCATGCATAGTTTTTCTCAAAACTATGAGGTGGGACAAAATTAAGATCGTAAAAATATTTATTCAATGATGAAATGAATTATATTTAATCGTAGCAAACAAACTTATGTTTTATTAAATCGCCACAAGAAAAAATACACCTGATATTATTAATTTTTATTATGATCTCTTGAACAACCAGTATGTTTTTTTTTTGGGGGGGGGGGTTATTTGCAAGATAATCTGTTCTGCTTCACATCTGCTAAATTGTGTAGAAATACCAGTATAGCACATTTGTCCATTTTCATTTCTGCCTTTACAGATTATATACATGTCTATTACCTGTGTATATATAGAATATATGTATTAGCAGTGCTTAATAACTCTTTTATTGTTGAGGTCATATTTTGAACAAGTTGAGACCTGCAGTGTTAAAATTGTTACAAAATTTTTTACACCTTTAGTTTAATAACTAATTGTGTAAAAGTACCAGCTAAATACATTTCTTCATTTTCATTACTTTGCTTGATATGTATCAGCAGTGCTCAACTCTTTGTTGTTGTCATATTTTCAATAAATATCCATAATTTCTTTTATTAAATCTGTTTGGAAAGGTGAAATTTATGTAAGCTCCGGAGTGATTCGAACTCATGACTTGATTTATAGCTAAATGGGGGTCAAACCCATTCTGCGCTACGCCGTTACGCAACAATTTTGCAAAAAAAAAAAAAAAACCCCCAAAAAAAACCAAACAAACAACAAAAAAAAAACAAAAAACAAAAACAGAATTATATTCACTTTCATTGTTTATTTCAAAAGTACCTTACAATATATGAATGTGTCGATGTATCTATTTTGTAAATGTCCGATATATGCACATGGATGCATTCATAACATGGGTCAAAGTCTAGTAATTTATGAAAAGATAGATATCATTGCATGATGCTTAGAGTCTCCTTTTGTAATCTATTACAGTGAAGTCAGCATACTTTCCATTGTTATAGATCAATTCCCATAATATGACAAAATGAGTATAGCAATAAGATGTTCTGTAACTGCTTTATTTTGATTTTAGGACCTTTTTGATGAGATTCTAAAGAAAAAGGTGAACCTTGAAAACGTTAAAGAGCGCAGCGATGCTGTGTGTCATAGAAGTACTGATCCACGAGTCACGAACAATATGATGCAGCTGTCTGCCAAGTACCAAGGACTGGTATCTCAGACAAAGGTAAACATAAATTTAATACTTGTAATCTTTGCTTATAGATTTTATTATGAAGTATTTGAGCCCTTTTCCAGAGTTTTGTTTATCATATATCTCTAGTGAGCATGGTGGCCCATAGGCCTCTTTGACATGCTTTATCGGAGAAATATTTATGTGAAAGAATATCGTATTGTGATGTTTTTATGTTTTTTGTTCTCAGACTTTGATTCAGAAGCTGTCAGAGAATGCCAGAGACCACAAGATGTACAACAATGCGTTTGATGCTGCCGCCCATTGGTTGGCAGACATGGATGAACGAGTCGTCGAATGCAATGACACATGCGGGGACTGGCATAACATTCAGGAACGCATGGAAGACATCAAAGTAAGTTTGTTTACCTGACATTTTGTAATTAATGAAGATTTGGTTGTCACTGATCAAAAGCAGTTTAATTAATCTTTGTGAGGATCAAATTTTGTGGTTTTGACAAAAAAAAATCTTAAATTGATGGACAGCTACCTTATCCTATTCTATCATTGATAGAGTCTTTAGTTCATTGATCTCCATACTCGTTATTTCTTGATCTGGATAGACCACAAAGACAACAAAAATTGAAGTTCAGAGAACAATGTGAAATCACATTATCTTTTTCAGTGATATTTCACATTTTAAGATGAGGAAATGAATGAGTAAGTGGGTATATTACTGTGACAGTTTTAATGAATTTTATTGTATGTTGCAGGATATCACTGCCAGCATGGACGAGGGATTACAGAAGGTCAACCTGGTGTGTGACTTAGCAGAAAAAATCTTGCCAAATACATCCTCAGAGGGAAAACGGTTGATAGAGCAGCAGGTGACTGAACTGACAAACGAGTGGGAGAAACTAAACATGGCTATATCTGAATGTAGCTCCATGTTGGAAGGAGTTCAGGACCGGTGGAATGACTATGAAGAATATTACGGTAGTTTGGTGAAGTGGCTGGCAGACATGGAAAATACACTCTATGTTGAACCAGAACCCAAGGCTCAGTTGGTAGAAAAGAAAACACAGCTAGATAAATATCGCCTGGTCCTTAGTGATGTTGAAAATCATCATCGCCTGGTCAATGAATTGGCTGAGAGAGTGGCGAACCTCGAAGCCTTGAGTGAAAACCCGGAGGTGTCTGATTCCCTGGCAGATGTCCAAAAACGATATGACAAGGTTCTAAACAGAGCAAGAGTAAGTTATTGAATTAATTAAATATTATTACACAAAAAATGAAGTTCAGCTTGTTAAATTAAAATGTAAGATTAACTGTATATTGGATGTTACAAGTACATTACTTAATAACTTTTGAAAGTTAAGTTAAGAGATGAACATCATTTGAAAAAAACATAATAAAATTGCAGGATATAGTGGCGAACCTGGAGAGATCCTATCACGATCATTTGGATTTCCATGAATCTCAGCAAGAAAGTGAAAAATGGTTGCTCCAGACTTCCTTCAAACTCATGTCCCACAACTCGCTGAATGTCAGCTCCATGGAACTTACTCAAAGACAGATTGATAAGCATAGGGTAAAATATACTCAGTTTACAAGAATTTAAGGTTCATTGACCCACTGAAATAAATTACTATTTATACATGTATATATATTTTTTTAATTTCCAAGTTTAAAGGCCATTTTGTCAAATTTTGCCTTGCTTGGAAGTTATGCTGAAATTTTGTGCATTTTAATTTTTGAATTACATCTCCTTTGAAATATCATCAGTGTTAAAGCAAAATTTTGTATGACTGAACAGAAGGATGACAAACCCTAAATATGTTAGGTATAATATATCACATTTCTGAGTAATTTTAAATTTTTTAATCCTTTTTTTCACCCATGCAGGCTCTGATAGCAGACATAGAGGATTATCGTAGGACCCTAGATAACGTGAATAAGAGAGGGCGTCATTTAGTTGACGAAAATATCAGAGTCCCAAAACTCGCACAACAAATACAATCCCAACTTCAAAACTTGGAGGAGAGCTACCTTAATTTACAGTCAACTGCGGAACAAATTCGGGTAATTATTATTTTTATTATTACATAAGAATATGGAAGGTAATAGAAGTTTCTTGCTTACTTGGGAGGTTTTTTTTTTGCTTTATCAAAGTTTGTCTGACATCTATCTATATGTGCATTGATGTTTATAAATATATGCCAAAATCTTAAAGAAAATTTCTACTTTTTCCAATAAAACAAAACAGACACAAAACAGCACAAACTGTCCATGAAAATAGTTGATAGTTGATCAGATAGTCATTTCCTTTTGAATGCAAAACAGGTCATTCAGAATTTTAATCTAATCTAAAAAATTGGACTTGGGAAAAAAAAATCAAAATCTTATTATAACTTTAAAGTTCTTTTAGTAGGAGAGAAAAAAAGGCAATAGATTGACCCAAGTTTGAATCTTGGTCTTCGGGTCAATAATTAAATACTGTAGATTTCTAATATTTTTCGTCACCTTATTTTCACGAGATATAAATTGGTATTTATATGCGAGACAAAATTTTCACAAATTTTATTACATTGTACTTGTTCTTTAATTGTACAAAAATATGTGGACATGAGGTTTTTGCGAGCAGGCAGTCTCATGTAATTATGCGAAAATAAAATTCTGGCGAATAAAAAGTGATATACTGTATGGGCCATATAATAATGGTTATCTGTCATCATATATTAGTAAGAGTTTGATTCAGGTGAGCATTGTGGCTCATGGGCCTTGTTTTTTTACTGGTTATTGGTTGTACTAATGGTAGGTATAAAACACTTCTGTTCACTGATTTGTAATTGGTAGCAGTACACATCTTTATGTTGACTGTGGTTTTAATTATTTATCAGAGCACGTGTTTAACCACTCGCGGAACATGTGTAGTTTGTAGCGTTCTGTTTGGTAATACCTTTGGTGTATGCAATAAAATCTCTTGGAGACTTAGAATGAAAAAGGGACAATGGGTTCTGCAGCAAGATGGTCAAAAAGTTAACCCAAACTAAAAATCTCCCATGTACATGTAGTACTATATATAACTATCCCTAGTCTACCAGAACTACCTCGACAATACTGAGTCGTGTCTTCATGCATATACATGTCTGCATTAAGTCGGCAGTTTCTAAATATTCTTGTAAATGGTAAAAATTTGTGAGAGAGTGGAGAAATTTTTAGAACCAGTAGTTTACTTTGGAATGTAAAGCCTTGCTGCTGTATTTACACAAGACTGAACACTTTTGCATGTATATATATATATATACCAGTATATCTCTCCCATGTATATTCTCCTTCAAACTTGTCTGTATACACTTGACATAGCTATGCTAAAAGTTCTGATTAAAGAATGTTGGAGATGTGAAGGTTATTGAAAGTGCTATTAAATCTGCTTTACAGTGGTTTCATCATTATTTGTTGAACACCAATATTCTTTGGCCCCTTTTCACAAAAGAACTTATGACTAAGACCAAAAATTTAGCTGACTTTAAAATCTTTCAAAATTAATTTCTCTGTTGATATTTCTTGCATGAATATATTTTTTCAAAATTCTTTTGGAAAAGATTATAAAGACGTTTTAAATTTTTTTTAAAGAAGATAGTAATTCGAAAATTTTATTTTAGTCTTAGTCACAAATTCTTCTATAAATTAAACTTGCCCTTGGATTTCATTATGGAGTCGGTCCACAAAATTTAATGTTCAAAGTAAGAATTGTGACAACAGTTTTTTTGTAAGAGCCATTTTCCACAAAATTATTCATCTTTTGAATTTTACTAAATCCACTAAAAATTGATGCCCACAAATTAATATTAATGAAACCACAATGTGTGGTTTCTGTAAGATATTAAGGTTTGTAGTTTGAATAAATTTTCACAACAGAGAGTCTATGTCAAGTGTTGCTGGCTTTTTGACCATCCTACTGTAGTACTTTAATTTTTGTAGATTTCTCTGTAGATTATATCAACTAATGTTCTGCACTGTTTCCTATATACTTCTGACTTCTGGGTGTCATTGGTTGCTTGATTAGATTTTATATATTGCAGAATACTTTCAACATAAAAAAAAAGAGCTTATAAGTGATTCTGATGAAGTCAGTAAAATATAATTCTCCAGAGTAGATATGAATTTATATTCTCCTGGATTTTTAAAAGTGTGAATTTTTTCTTGGCTCTTGACAGGTGGTGTTAGATCACATAGATCTCTATTGGTACTAAACTCTGAAGTCTTACACCGGGAGCCCAAACCAGAACAGATGCTTAAATATATAATCTTATGTGCTAATAGACTAGTTGTTCAGTTGTGTAAATATCATGTAGTGACTTTACATTAAGTTCTGCCACTGGTTATGTCCAGTTTTGTTAACTAACTAGTGATACAATTTTTTACACAAGACTTAATGCAGACATTGTTTTTTTTTTTTTGGCTTGCATGACATTTTCAATAATGTAATCACATGTTAAAAGCATGTACATGTATACCGTGTGATTGACTTCATATATATATACTATTTATTGTTGGCTATCGTTTGATTATTTTCATCCATATACATGTATACATTGGTGCTTATAATTTTATTAACTAAGATGATGTGAACTATTCAACTAAACTATATAGTTATTTTGATATAGTTTTATTTCAATTATCCGTCCCTTCATGAAAAGTTTACCTAAGTGTCAGTATTGATTTGTTTGAATCCGTCCAATTGTTGATAGTTTAATTTATTTGAGAGTATTCTTTTTGCTCTAACACTGCTTTTAAGAAAATTTTTCTATTTTTCCTGATAGTATGAATAAGAGTAGATGAGTGTGTACCTGTATATTGCTAATATTTTCTAAAAGCTTTTTTAAAGGTTTAAAAAAAATTGGGTTTTCAAATTGGTCGAAATCTCATAACTGGTTACCTGGTCCTTTTTTCAGTGGATTGCCCAATCACTCAATCTATGCCATAAAGATTCTTCATGCTCCCCAAGCTCAGTATTACATTATAATACAGCTACATCATTATTAATAAGGAAAATAATTCTAGAAAATTGACACTTAATGGCATAAGGTACAGATGTACTTTGAATATATACTTATTGTTTTTAAGGACATACGCAACGTAGTTTGAACTTATTGTCTTTTTCCCTGGAATTGAAGAGTTCTGATACTTAAAGGAACTGTGTGCTACATTTTAATGTCTATATATGCTGTTGTACACTTCTTCTAAAACAAGTTTGGATGAACAAAACATCTATAATATATGTTTAGTAATTTTTGAATATTTTTCTTTGAATTATACAAAAATTTTCATCAATTGATATCTTTTCAAACCCCCTGGTAATGTATGCTGATTTTTTGTCTACGAACATCTGATGGCACTATAATCTTAAATTAAGAATATCTTGAAAAATTATCAGTAGGTAAGGTACGTTGCGTGTGTCCTTAACTTCAGCCTTAATATAGACGAAAGAATGCATTTTTCAATAGTTAAATAATGAAGACCCATAATTAATGAAAGAAATCCACCGCTCTGTCTCAAAAGTGTACACAAATGTCATATAATTCACAATATTTGTTAAACCAATGGTTTAAGTAAGCTGACATCACTTCACAGTTTTAAAATCTCAACTTCATTTAAAAGCTCTGGATTGCGATTATGGTACCTCTCGAGCACTTCAAATTTCACAGTGAATAGTTTAAATATGAGTTTAACAGGTTTGCTAAGCAGTTTATAGGAATCAACATTTGTCATTTGAGTTGTTTTGGGTTTTTACAGGCAACATTAAAAAACAAAACACTAGAAAACTTGTGAAACCACGCATCTAAACAAGCTCTCTATGAAATAGTTGCCATAAATTGAACTTAATTGCTGTATAAACACCTACAAAATGCTTTGATTTGTTTTTCTTAATGTTTTGCAAAGTAAATTGGAATATAAAAAATATTAAAGTAAAAAAAAAATGAATTTCTTTCTTTGTTCTCCGATTAATCATGTAGCAATTTATGAAATGAATACTTCGACTTTCAAACAAGTACCATATTGAGTGGGCAGTCCTTGACAACCCTATAAAAAGTGATGCTAACACCTAACGTAGAGTTAACAAAAACTTCAGTATACTTGGAGATATTTTTATATATTCTTTATAACAAATACAAAATGTAGATACAATGAACTTTAGAACAATTTGTGTGAAAGAGGTTTTGACACTTTACTTCTAATGACAATCAGACATAAACACAATACAGTATGCCAAAGATGGACCTCTTGTGGACTGCAGTGCATGTGATATATTATATTTAACTAAACTCATGATTATTTAAACCTTCTTAACTATGAGAATGCTTAAGGTTGAACAGAAGCATGTGAAGTATAGAAGCATGCTAAGTATAGAAGCATGATGAAGTATTGTATGCTGCATTTCTCTGTTTTTATTTTATTCTGTGATTTTATACACATGTGATGTATGCTGTGATGCTTTGCCAGAGAATGATATTCCTATTCTGTGGAATACATTTTAATTTTTTATAATATATAATATGTTTTTTATTTAAAATAGTCTAAATCACCAACATTGATATGCAATGTTACATCATATTTTACCAAATAAATTAATTTTATGAAAGACTTCATTTTCTCTTTATTCTGCTATGTATTATGATAATTGCCACTATGTTGAGCTGTAGCCTGATCTTTAATCTGATGAGCTTTAGCCTGATCACCATTTAAAGGATAGATTGAAGTGAGCTTTTCTGATTGAGGTCTGTTGTCTGTCTATTTGCATGGTGCCTGCTATTTGTTAGCTATTGAATTTTTAACTACTTCAGAACCGCTGTGACAAACTTAACACACAGCATCTGTCAGTGATGGGGATTCAAATTTGTTCAAATTTAAAAAACCTTGTTCCTATTCAAAATGAGATAATTAAGAAAATTTTAAAATAGGGGGTTATAAAAATGCTCTTCAAGAGAAAGGTCTGTGTTAATTCTGGATAATATTTAAGAATCCACATGGAAGGACCTTAACCTGTGCGGTTAAGATGGGGACAGAATTAGAGTGGGAGATTCATAGAAAGATTCTTTTAAAATATGCATTTAGCGAAGAACTCAAGTTGATATGCCATCTTTCTACAAGTAATAATTAGGGTGTAATGAACCAATCTCATTGACATCAAAATCCTGAAGACCAAATTCACTAGAAAGTATCTTTAACACTGACATTATAGAATTTTAAACTGAAAATTTTCCCCACAAAAGAACAAAAGATCTGGGAATAAGCGTGCAGCTGATCTGGGAGTAGGCTTGCATATCTCACATCACTGATGCCCACGTGAGTTGGTAAGGAAGGAGAATAAAAATTATTTCATGAAAATAAATATTGATAATGGATGCATGTCATCTAGTAACACTTAAATTTTATCATTAGGAATTAATATATCATATATACATCCTCATGAAGTACATATTCAAGTTTGTTCAAGGTATGACCAAGGTCTGGGATGGAGCTGCAATAGGTTTTTCAAAGATTTATGAAGGTATATACGTGAAAATTCTCTACAGGGCTGGAACGGATCAACAGAATATGTAGGCATTCCCATGTATTGTAGATTTAGGTTTGTTCAAGTCATGACCCCATGCAGGGCTAGGGTGGGCCACAGAAGGGGTTTCAAATATGTACACTTCCTAGAAAATGACAATATAATTTCTGTAATAAATCATTTTACATATCTGCAATTGGTAAAATCTATTTACCACTGTGTGTGGGGGGTTACTTTAGGGATAAGAAGTTTCCTATTTTCATGTGTCTTGAAGAATTAATAGGCTTTTTATTTCATTGTCAATCAGTATGCTATAAAACTGAAGGAACAGTGAGCTTTATTTATTTCTGTATCAATATTTGTCCATAATCCCTCTGTCTTCTGTCTTTCATCTATACTATTTGAAACATCTGAAAATCCTCTTCTAAAGAACTAGTTGCAAGACTAGAAATAGCTGAAATTATATAGATATTAACTTAATTTTTTTTGTATGTGGTGTTCACCCATATTTGTTCAAATTATGGTGACCAGAGCAATGCATTAGATATCAATATGACTACAGCTTTTCCATCATTAACTTTCCTTAACTATGTAGTAATATTTCACAATCATCTGCATATGGTGTTTGTCTCGCAACTTCTTCGATACATGCTTTGAGTATGATTAGTTTTTAACAGGGGCAGGGTAATGACAAACAAGTTCATGTTAAAGGGATTTCAACAACCCCCATTGAATGCCAGCATTTTATAATTTCTATGATCGTTATAATGACCTTGTTTGTAAATATAACTTTTCATTGGATTGTATTTTGACTGACATATTATGTACCAATTGTCAGGCCATTGTTTGTTAAAACTAGATTTGACTACAGATTGTTCAATCTTCCTGATCAATATCTGGGGCTCACAGTGGGTTTGACCAGTCAACAGGGAATACTTACTCCTCCTAGGCACAAATTCACCTCTGGAATTTCCAGAGGTCCACGTTTTTCTGCCCTGTTCACAGATTTAGTTTGTTTGTAGGTTTTTTGAGATCGATCACTTTAGTTACTTTTATCTTCACCTTTGTCACTGAAAAATCCAATTTTTGCTAAGAATTATAAAAACTAATCATTAGTCTACTTGAGAACCGCAAATATTAAGTTTGCTTCATGGTTTGTAGAATCAAGTTGATTCAGGTTGAGAGTCCTTAGTGCAAGGATGTGGTCATAATATATTGATTGGATCAAAGATTTATATAAACTTGCTGGAAACAAATTAGTAATTTAAGAACAAGAAGGATTCAGTTTATCTAGTAAATATGTAAGAACCCTCATTAGTGTAGGACATGAATTCCCAAAATAGAGTTCATCATTGTACTTTAAAGTATATACACCTGGAGCATCTGTCCAGAGTTAGGGAGACCTGATATTGAATCCTTGTCTGGTCAGTCATATTTTCTCCCTACCTATTAAATTTTGTTTTGTGCCATGCAGTGAAGTGAAAGCCAGGGGAGAGTCTGGGTTGGTGCTTTATAGGGCAAAGCCATTTAAGGGAAGAGGAATGTAGAGGTCAGGGAGGTTCATGACCAGGTGGCTCAATTGGTAGAGCAACTGTCCAGGGTTCAGGTGGCCCTGGGTTCAAATCTTGGTCTGCTCCATAACATTTCCTTCCTTGCCATTACACAAGGCTGTAGTTGTACATGTGAAAGTGGTAAACAAATAGTGAAGATTCAACTTCATTCAAAAGAGGAAATCCTCCATTTGAGATCAATAGATATGCAAAAGGGTAAAAATTTAAATAGGAAAATGCAGATAAACACTTTCAGTTTGTCAGCTAACGTGTGGTTTCCATTGGCATCTAATGTTTTGAGAATGGTCTTATCTAGATTTTCATTGACACAAGGCTATCATTATTGTATTTATAAATCGTAGTTTTTATCCTATACTGCTCTTACAAACCTTCTACAAACAGACAAAATTCACTCATTTTCGTGAATATTTAATGAAGACAAATGACAGTACTTGAGATATGTGGAGATTAAATCTGTAATGTATTGATTAAGCCAAGTGTATCAGGTTTCCAACGTTTTTATTTGGTTTAGAATGCAATACAAGTGCCAGTTTTGAAATTGATAAAAAGATTTCTTGTTCCTTTTAATTTTATCTAAATGTGTCATCCTTAGTTTGAATATATTCTCATTTTATCATACATCTACTGCTGCATCCACTCCATGGACCAAAAGCAATAAAGTTAAGTAATTTTAAAAATCTTCTTTATTTATGACCTTGGGGTGCAGGGTTCATGCATCCAAAGCAGGCTAACTTAATCATTTACTAGACATGCATTATTTCTTGGGATCAAGCCCCCAGTTTTGCCTGATTATAATGAACAATGAGCTGAATACAGAAATCTTGGAACTCGTAACCCGCAGGTGCAGGGATTGGACTACATTAATTGAATATTAATCAAAAATGTTAAGAATCTAAGAAAATTCTTCTGTTTTGCATCATTAAACCTAGCAAGCAAACTATTAGCATGATTATATTAATGAGCAATGAGCCCTTTACCAGAGTTTTGAAATTTGTGATCCCTGGGATTTAGGGGTTCAGACTTCCAGGGTGGGATTAAATTAATCACAAACTTGAAATACATCATGTCTTTGAAATTTTTTTTATATCTACAAACTGTTTAATGCTGAGAGCAAGGATCTTTCCACCAAAATTTTGAAGTTCATGTCATCTCAGTGCAGGATTTAGGCCCCAGGGAGGTGGGAGGTTGGGGTGGGGTGGGGGGTTAAAATTATCATATGCTGGAAATGCATTATATCTAAGTTACTCTTCTTCACTTTTAAAAATATAGCAAGAAAAATTTGAACAGCATTGTGATTACCAATGATTTTTTGAAATCAAAATTGTGAAATTTATGATCCCTGGGTACAAAGTTTAGGTTCCAGGATTGGGTAAAGTTGGAGAGATTGAAAATTATTGGTATCCTGAAACTCTTCTTTACTCCTGGAATTTTAAGGTTCATTGACCCTCTGATAAGAGAGATAACTCTCATTGGGATAAATGACCAGGGCTCAACATTAACTAAAATATTCACTTGTCCGATCGGACAAGTGTGTCTAGAGATTGACTTGTCAAATCATAAAATGAATTGGACACAGACAATCTGACAAATGTTAATGTTGAGACCTGAGAGGTCTATTGTTCCCTTATAGAAATGTCAATGTAAAAGCCCATTTCTGTCTGATTTTCAATGTTGAAAGTGTGTATTTTAATTATGATTTAGAGTTCTTTTGAAAAATCAATCATTAGCATTAAAGCAAAAAAGAGGGCTGGTGAACCTTAACTTTTCAAACAAGCAGGATAAGGAACTTGCTCATGACATCCAGATGGTTGAAGATTAAGAGCATACATGCATCATGCATTGCTTTTGATACCTAGGTGACTGTCAAGGTCCATGGACTTCTTGTTTTGCCTTGCTTCCGTCTGTGGTCATGTGGTAATCTTTTCCCTTCATTCTAGGTAAGACTGGATGAAGTATTACAAAAGTGGTTCCAATACAAAGGCCTGCTAGAGAGAGATAAACAGTTTTTGAATGAAGAATTTCCACAGTGGGTTAAAGAGACGGACAAAAGTATCCCAGACAATCTCCATGATGCTCAGAGTAAACTAGAAACAGTCAGGGTAAGAAATAAAACATATTTATCCTCCATTGTTTTCTTTGTCAACTTAGAATATCAGTGTGTGCATAAGAAAATCGAAATTTTTTCAAAGAAAATGTTAGCAGCCTTATTTTCAGCTGTTTAAATTACCTCATATTGAGAAAATAAGTGATCTTATCTCCTCGACACATGAGTGAGTGTTTGTTGTTTGTATTTCCTAGGGTATGTGGGAGAGACTGACATCTATGAAGCAGGAACAAGTAATGGCTGCCCATCAGTGCGAGAGTCTGGGTGGAAGTACTGATAATCAGGACATGGCAGACCAGCCTGCCGAACATTCCGTGGCTCAGCTAGCTGAAGCAGTCACAGAACTGGTACAGGATGCCATTGGAGAGGTAAATTTACAGATTTTGTCAAAGAGGAATTGATGGGTTCACATGTATCATCAGTCAAAGATGTACAGTTATAAAGGAGTCACAGGGACTTGGATTTTTGTCTCCTTGTACAATGTACATGTAACCAAGATTCTTTAAATCAGTATTAGGAGCATAATGTAAAGTCTCCAACAGGATTCATAAAACTTTCCTAACAACTGAAATTTCCTTATAAGCCAGTTCTTTATAACTGAGCGTTACTGTATAATCTGAATGATTATGTTGCAGACTGAAAGAAGGATGAATGATATCAGAGACATAATTCACCAGTGGGAGACCATTGATCGCACCAGGAATGACCTGAGGAACTGGCTCCATAGCAAGCAGGAAGAACTGCATGATTTGGAGAACAGACCCAGTAAACTCCATGCTGAGGCAGCTGAGCTGGAGATCGCAAATCTTCAGGTGTGCTATTGCTATGGTATCTTGTTATTAACAAGAATTAAAATGAGAAATCAAATGTTTTAGTTATAAATAGACCATCACAGAAAAAGGTTAAGAGTCATTTTAGACCAATTTTGATGTTATTTCACAGACTCTTAGAGAAGAGGTTACAGCAAAGGGTCCAGAGATAGAGAAATTTGTCAATAATTACCGCGATCTAACACAACACAAGCCGTCGTTAGTGGATCCAGTGGTGCGGGCAGTGAGGGATGATTGGGATGAGCTGTTGGGTCAGATCGAGAACTTACTGGAAGAGAGAGAACAAGCCCTGCAGACAAGCCGAGAGTTACAAGATGCCCAGAATACCATGGACAATGACCTTGAAGATTTTGTCAAAGAACTGGAGAAGATTGAGGCTGCTGAGGCCAGCATGACAGATAAAGTCAATCAGCTGAAGGTCAGTTCTCACTCACTTATACATAACATTAGGAAAATCTGGCCAATCATAGAGGGTAGTCAAATTGTTAAAAGGGATATACTGAAAATCAGCATTGGATTTGCAAGTTTTAGCCACTTGTTTCTAAATATTTGGTCATATATATCATGCATTTCATTTTTTTTTTTTTGTGGAATTAAAAAATTGCTATACTTTTGTGTTTTCTACATCTATACTTTCTTCAGGTTTTATGGGAAATCAATGTGTTTGGAAGCCTATAATCAAGCAAATGTACAAAATGAAAGAACATTGAACAAAATTGTTAATTTCTACTTAATGTTATGCTTCATGCGGTATGCAATATTTTGAGTTATATTTACACCCCTTCACCTGCCCTAAAGTGGGAGGAGGGATAAAGTGAACAGGACTTCTATTTTCATATGCTCGTCGTGTACATCTGCAATAATTCTGCATGGCATATTAATTCTGTTTAGGCAAACTATCATCAGATTAATTTCTTGAGAATTAATTTGTTACCAGTATTAATTCTAAGAATTTCAGATTATTTCTTGAGAATTAGTTACCAATATTACAGTTGTAAGAATTCCTTATCTCCTTATAAATTCCACACTAAAACATTAATTGTCTATTCATACTATTCTGCTTTTGTGAACTGTCAGAGTAGGCAAATTAAAACACAAGAATGTGAAACATATACCAGTATTATAGTTACTTAAATGATAATTAATTCCTAAAACAAACCCCTTAAAAGTTCCAAAGCCTTGTAGTTTTTCAATCATCAGTTTATTTACAAATCGTACACAAATTTAATTCAAAAATGTTTCAAAATTAAATTACATATAAGTAACTTACATTTAACCATGTAAGTAATACTTACTTATCGCATGACCTATTATGCTTATGGTAGGCAATATGGCTTCTTGGCCGTTTAAATTATTTTGTAAGAATTAAGTTATACTTTTATGATTGGCCAGAAAATCCATTATCTGTCTGTGTGTATTGAGCTTGTGTTGTGGTGACTGAATACTAGCTCTCTAGTGTAAATGGGAAAAGGGGAATTTGAGTGAATATCTGTCTCTTTAGTGATCAAGTTTGCCCACTTGCTTTGCATGCCTATAGATAATTTAATTAAATATAGACAGTTTTCTAGTTGCCATGGTTAAATTTTATCGACCAAATGGCTACTTATAGAAATTGTCATATATATATATATATATATATATATATATATATATATATATATATATATATATATATATATATATATATATATATATATATATATATATACAATGGTAATTTTGTATTTAAAAAAAGAATATTTAATGTGTACTTTACTTGTCCATGCACTTTAGGACATCACTTTCCTTGCAGTGATGCATTTATTATATGCCTCTTATCTTCTTATGTATATAGAAATATTGAATCTTATAAACAAATATTGATAATTAATTTGTACATTTGGTGAAAAGTGGGGAGTTGCATGATAATCAATTTAAAAAAATAATATGCACCTGGAATTTTAAATAAGTCCAAGGTTGCATATGTAGTATTGAAAACTGCTGAATAAGCCCTTCATTGTCACATTCCAATAATAACAAGTATATCCATACGGTACAAGGAATATTGGTCTCTTGCCATTTGAACAACAAGCTAGAACTTGTAAATTTAAATGGAGGGCCATTATTATCCTCAAACAACGCATAAGAAAGTTAATATGGAAATCAAAGAGAGGATCAGTGTTTCACTCGATTGTTTTAATGGCACATTGTTGAAGTTGTACACATACCAGTAATCTCTCTGAGATTTGTATGCGCCTGGTTTTAAACTAAGACTGGAATTTCGGGTGACATATGACATGTTAGAGGTGTAGGTCATACTTGGAGAATTGGCAGTTAGAACTAATGCAACTTAAAGTTGATTGTAAGTATCTCTTTTAGATCTCTGTGAATCATTTATATTTTGCCTCTGTTATTTGGAATGTTGTATTCACTGTGCATATCCTGACTCCCCCTGTACTACCCTGTATCTAACATTGTATATCCTGGTGGTTTGTTGTATCTACCTTTTCCCTCTCTCTCTTGTCTATCATATCACTTGTAATGTAGCCAACTGTCCAGTGTAGCATCATTTCTAACAGTAATTGATCATGTGTCAACACTAACTCATAATATACTTCACTGTCAGTGTTAGACAAATTTAAAAAGATTCACAAATCGTGTACTTTAAACACGAAATTGATTGGCGCGATAAGGTTACCTAGCATGTTGAAGCATGTTGAAGCAGCTTACATTAAAATCAATATGTTTGCCCTTTCTATATTTATCTCTGCATGGCTGACTGTGTATTATGGGCTGGGTGATTGATTTATCAATATCCTTTGTACTAGTACAATATGGCAGTAGTGTACGACGTATAAAGTTTAATTCTTCACATTTGTTTACCTGCTCTATCCTTTGTAGCTCTGTATAAAACTTATCTATACCCTTGCCGTATATACTCTGCATACTATTGACATTAGTTGTATTCTTTCATTCTGCTTTTGGAAACCATTCAAGATTTTGGGGATTGTAAAACTGTAGTTGTTCATGTTCAATTCATCCTACTACTCTATCAGGTATGAGTTTTCAGTCCACAGAAATTTTAAAGAACATCAGAGCTAATAAACATTACTTCTAATCCTATGTACAGTGTAATTTATAGCAATTATCTTCATGCAAAGCAAGTTAGCAACCTTGAGAATCTTGCATATGTAATATTGGTACATGTATTTGGTATGCTGCTTTGACTCTTTGCTTGTGTTAAGTAACTTAATACCACTTAAACTTAAAACAGTGCAAGGAACTAATATTTTTAGAACAGTTTTAATAATATTAAAATAATGTTTCATGTAGTGAAATGATAATATCTTGATTCCAAGACACTTAATTACAGTTTGCTTTTAGGATTGCTAGTTTATATTTTGTATTTTGTGTGTTGTGTGTGTAATGCAGGTGGTGGTCTGTTTAGTAGGTTAATCAATTTTTTAAAAAAAAATTATTGTTTTGATGCATTTTCTAACTGCCATTTCTCCATATATCTACACTGCAGAGACGAAAGTGTCGATCTACGCAAACACCACGAGGTGGCATCCGAAGGGGCACATTTGGGTCAGACGATGACAATGATGATGACGATGGTGGTGATGATGATGTATTTCGATTTCCAGTGACACCTAAACAAAATTTATCAAGGTCCCAAAGTAAGTCCTCCCTTAGACGACAACTGCCTACTCCAAGGTCCCGTAGAGGAAAAAGACCATTTGACCGATCTCATGACAGCTTAAAAAAGGGGTCAAGTGCAGCAGCTTTAGACTCTGAGAGTGAAGAATCCGGATATGGTGAAACTTACTATACAATGCATGCTTCCAGTTTTGACAATGATGCATTTGATTCAGTAATTGAAACCACAATGCCAGGGACACCTCTAGGACTGGAGCAGAACCATTTCTCTGATAACGAATCTACTGTGAGTTATATTACTGGTGAATTTCCACCTGCAAATCCAGAAGACTTAAGAGATGCACAATCTCAAACTCTAGGCCACGCCCGTACTCAAACTGCAAGTGGAATGTGGGGTGGTAGTCTGAGAGACATTAGTACTCAAATGCCAAGAGCCATGGAAACTCAAACGGAAGGATTACCAAGGTATATGAATCGATCCACACAGTCATTACAATCCATTGGAGCACAGACTCGTAGGTCACATGGTTCAAGGACAGATTTGCTCAAAAGTATTTTAATGGAAGTAAAAACAATGAAAAATCAACGAGGTCTCAACAGCCCAAGTGAAAATTCAAACTCTCCATTTGGATCTGAAACCTCTCTCAAGAAAGGCATGCTCAGGGATATTCTTACAGATGTACGTACCCTAAAAGAGCATGGAGCTCATGGTGAGACTGCTACTCAAACTGAGAACGAGCAAGGGACTCAGACAGGACCAAGACTCTTCCCTGAGGCTGATCCTGTGAGAAATGCCAGACATGGAAGACTGAGAGATTTAATGGATGATGTCAAGGACTTAAAGAGTGGAAAAACAAACAGTAACACTGCATCTCCTTTGGAAGATTATCGATCTCAGCAAACCTCAGCCATGGGAGACCCATTAGAGAGAAGACCATTATCAAATATAGCTGCTCCTAATCGAAATTCCCCCGTTCGATTTGGAGCATCTCGACCACATTCGGCTCAAAACGGTGAAGTTCATAATGGATACATGCCAGAAGGCTACATTCCAGCAATGAACATGCCTGAACCACCTACATATGGAACTGCACCTTATCCAGGTCAACATATAACAATGAACGATATAAATAATATAAATGATCGCATCCAAAGGCTGAATAACTATCAGTTACCCCCTCGTAGAACACTGCCTCAACCACCACCACCGCCACCTCCACCACAATTCATTGTGCCAGTTTATGCTTCTCCACCACCAAGAAGAGTTACCTTCAGGGAATTCCCCCGTTCCTATGAAGATGAAAATGATGGTTTTCTATCCGACGAGAGTGAATATGATGGTGGTATTGCACCTAGGCGCGGTAGGCGGAGGCATGCTCAGACCCTGGATAGGTATGGAATCGAGGATGCCATAACAGAGGCGTGCAGTGCAGCTAAACAGTTAAGGAAGATGTCTCAGAAAATGAAAGACTCACTGCGAGATGATCTCCTCAAAAGATGACAATTATAAATTAATAAATTGATATATATATATATATATATATATATATATATATATATATACTTCCATTGAATATAACCCTGGTTGTTACTGAAGACTAAATCTAGTTTTAAATCTTTTTTAATGTTTTATTTTATTTGTTTGCTTTTGAATTTTTTTTTTGTTTGTTAGCTCAGGTGAGCTAAAATATTCTTTCATTTTTTTCTAGAATAAATACCGGTACAAACCAAGTCACCACAGTATTGTGTGGTTCTTGAGCATTTATTCAACATCCGTCC